GTGAGGGAAGAAGGGAGAAACCCGAGTATATTACGTTTTAACTTCTATACCTATATGTATAAGTTGGTCCCCATGTACCAGTTATCTCGAATACGAGAGCGCACGTTTACCTCGCACCATAACTTTTCGACTTTTTCACCTTCTCTCTTCTTTTCTCATATTCACATTTACCATGTATACGTCTTTCTCACTCTATCGTTGTTATGTACACGTCGATTTCAGAATGAATTCAATCCTGAACAGGGAAAAATTGAATTCTGTTGTACATTTTTTTTATTCTTCATCTCTTTATGTTGTCTCTTAATTCACTACAAAATGTTACACCATGAGAAAAGTAGAGAGAGGTGGTAAGGGAATATTAAAATCAGAAACATCACCTATATACAAAGGTTTGTCCAAGTGTATAATGAAATTATTTCGAACGCTAAACTCGGGAGAGTCAGTTAATCGAGTTACCAAGCGAGAGAAACTGTGGCCAACAACTATAGCGTCCCAACAATCGTCGTGTACCCAACGATTCGCTTGAAATTAGAGATGAATTCGAACGAGAATGATGATTAAAAAATAACGCAAAAATTGTTAAAGTGCTGCAGTGAGTAGAATTTACCTACTCACTGCAATTGTCTTTTTCTGCCCTTGACCAAAATAACCTCAAGATAAAATAAGATGAAAACTCACCCTGTGCGGTGCTCGAAGGAGTCGATGTACCGCAGCAAGTTGGTTGATGAGCGGCAAGGTCGCGCTGAAGGTGTGGACGGGTGGCCTGGGTGGTTCTGGATAGGAGCTGGCATAAGCGAACGGATCGACATCGTTCAGATATTGCACTCTGCACGTCAACGACATTCCGCCACTCAAAAATCCCTCACTATTTCTATCTTTTTCACTCACTCACTCACTCACCCCTGTTAACCCCCTCACCCCAATTCCCACGACTCTTCAATCGAAGAATGATGAATTTAGCCAAGGAAAAGAAGTGGAAAAAAAAATAAAATCAACATTCACAACAAAAAATTGTTTGTCGTTTGGTTGCTTTAAAGCTGGACGTCTCTTGCCTTCTCTCCACTGCTGAAAGTCCCTTCGGTTTTTCAACGAACCGGTTCACCCGTTGGGCAAACGCGTACACACAACGGAGGCCAACTTCGACTTCTCTTCCCTTTATTTTCATCCACAGTTCCCCTGAGCTCTCTCACGTGTCTCTTTCTCTCTGTCTTTCACATTACTTCCATAAAAACCAAATAGAAGAATCAAGGGAGGGAGGAGAGACTCCTCAACTTCACTGTACTTTACTCTATAGAGTATTTATGATTTTTGCTTCAGTCTCTCTCGAATACTATTTCACAATTTGCAGTTAGTTGCATCTGTGTCACATTGAGATAAAATTCATTTTCATTTATAAAAAATACTGAAATCAATTATTTTTTACTCCATATGCTACCGGAATTACCATAATTCAGGCATTTTATGGACAAAATGTTACACAACTGATTTCAGGATTTCCTCTTGCAGTGTTTATTTTGGATCTTGAATTATCTTTGACAGTTATTATTGAAATAAACTGGCTTTTCGCAACGTGACTGACCGTCGGTTGGGTTTCATTAAGATCGTTTAGTACCGCCGGCCTTGACCACGGATATCGTATGAACGAGTGTAATAGGGGAGGATGGGGTAAAACGGACACTAGACTTTTTTAAAATTATTCATAACTCAGAAACAAATTGATCGATTGAGCTCAGTTTAGGCTCGTCACAAAGGGAAAGAATTATTCTTTGTATTAGAAGAAAAATTATTGAATTTTATCGAAATTTCAACCCCTCATTAACATTTTAAAAAAAGTCAAAAGTGTCCGTTTTACCCCAACCTCCCCTAACTTGTTTTCTACTTTTTCAAGTTAATCTTATTGGCGGAGGAATCTAGTCTAGTTCAATTTATTCACCACTGATGAAAACTATCTCTAGAATGAATTTTTCATGAGGAAACCACATTTCCATATTCATTCTCATCTATTTACAAAAATTTAACAATTGAAAAAACTATTTGAGTGTGATAGCTGTCTCAGAAACATGTATATGTTTTTAAATAGTCTCCCTGCGAATGAATATTCAATTATTCATCTCTTTAATGTCCCAGACTTGTTTAACCCAATTAAACTCTTGGAAACGGTTTTGTAATGGTGATTTGTGGATTTAAACAGCCGAGGTGACGGACGATAAAAATTCTAATAAATTGTTCTTTCATAACCAGTGGACAGTTGAAGCTGAAAAGTGATTTTCTCAAGTAAATCTCAACTTTTCTTCTGAATAAATGAACTAATATAGAAATGTAATAAATATGAATTTCCTGTTAATAATTCTCTTGTAATTCTACGCTATGCTTTCTTTTAATTCAATACTATAAATAAATTGCTTTAAAAATTTGACAATAAAATTGTGGCCACGTCGGTACTACGGATCAACAGAGTTTAGCACTGGCTTTTTGTTGGGGTCATACAGGTATCCACATTGTGGTGGAGAGAACTCGTCATTCTGTTGGAGGTTATGCATTCGCATTGTTCGGTATGCCTATACACGAGGAGACAGAGAGAAAGAAAGACCGAGGGAGAGAGACAGAGCGAAAGGCTCTTGATATCTCTCCCTTTGACTCCATTCTGTATATAGATATATATTATATAGGTACCGGCTACCGGCTCTACGTACAGCCCAGGAGAAAACACGATGGAGAGAGATGAAGGGAGAAGGAAGGAAGGATAGCTGGATGAGAGGGGGAAAACGAGTCTGCGCCATACCTCGATCGAAATGCCTATGGTGGCTCTCAGAGTCAAAAGATTATAAAGCGTTCAGGTGACTTGAGCGTCTGAAATTACATTCGGTCAAAAAACTCATTTTTTTTTCTTTTTGATGACTGAAACTCCTCTAAGAGACCCCTCATCTCAACGTGGGAAATTTTACTCCGAAATGTAGGATAATTCACCAATTAAAGGGCAATTATGAAATCAGAGTGATGAATGACTTCAAGATTTTTTTTTTCTTTAAAGAATAGAGGAGATGATTTCTGGTTGATAACGAATTTCTTTTCACAAAGATTCATCCAGAAACTGAATCAAATTATTCATTGAAACAATGCATTTCTCATGAAGTCAATGATTGTTAAGATAGAAAATTCACGAGCTTGGAAGAATCAAATGAATAACAACTGTTACTCTAAAATGTTTGGATCTCAGCAATCAAAACAAACCATTCAAAACAATGGCACACTACATTTTCACGCGAGAGAGGAATTATCCTAGGCGGATTCAACGTTAGATTTCCACATTCATCACACTATTCACCTTCAAAAATAGTTATTTGGAGCCAAGATTATTTAATCATTCACGTCGGAGCCGTTTACGCCAAATTTATGGTGGAAAAAAAAATCGAAAATAATAACCTCAAGATCCAAAATAACAAATATTCGAATTCACATATTCACCAGTTCATGCGTAATACCAGTGTCCTGGAGTCTGCGCTTTCGTTCTCTTTTTCAACGCTCTGAGATCGAAGGTCACGTGTTGTGTTTAGATATTTAGCGTCGATACACAGTCTACCATGTGCTCGAAACACTTCACTCCATTTTCAACAGTTTTTCATACATGTTAGGTTGTTTTCGATCAAACAAACGCTCGGAGCACACAGAGGGGTAAGAAAAATGATGACACAATGAGCGAACGGCCTGGGAACGTGCCTAACCTCGCGAGCGGCCGCCGCAACACTGAATCGCACGGACACCTGTCGACTCTGGCATACACTACGCCACCGTACGGCCAACCCCCTCCCTACTATAGACAGAAAAAGAATTGACCCCGGATCTCCATATTCTGATAATTATCATCATTGAAAATATTCACATTTTACTCTTGTCTACAATTTGGAGTAGGCTGAATACTCGGGGGAATTTATTTGTTATTGTTGTCGTTGGTGTCAGTGTTTTCATATTCTAATAAATGAGAACATCTGTGATATTTTGGTTGATTGCCTGGCAGGCAATTATATTAAAGTTTTATATTCTATTGATATATCAGTGTTGGTAATTAATCAATTCATCGATTAGAATAATAAAAGTTTAAAAAGCAATTGAGGTTAGTGAATTCATTTTTTTATGCAGCAAGAATTCTATATGAACCTACTCATCTCAAAATATTTGAAATGAGATGCCTAATTGTTTATTTTGCTGCATTTGTCTCTGGATTAACAGTAGCTACTCTATACCAATATTCTTCTCTATTCATCAATTCTATTTTTGACAGTTTTTTCTCCCCACACTTTATATCAATTCGTTCCCACCACTGAATAAATTTATTGCGGATAAATTCCTATTGTGTTTCCTGTCGATGCCTATCGATATCCAAAAAACAAATACGCACAGCGTCGATTTATGTGAATAAATAAATATATTTTGATTTTAAATCACGTGAAAATGGAAAAAGTTGAAAAATGCCCACACAATGGTAATATTTTTCAATGTCTGATTTTCAATAATTCTGATGAATGTAATTGAATAAAGGCAATGATAAATGTTGTTATTGTTAACAATAGACGCAACTCCTGGATCTGTTATTTTTGAATTTTTTTTTTTAACACACTTTATCTCCGTTGTGGAACTTTTGTAAATTATTTTTAGGAGTTTCTAAACTCGCGAAATGTAAACAAGCCCGTATTTTTTTCCTGAAATTGAGAGCAAGTATGTAGGTACGAAGGAGTATAGAGACACGAGCCAGCATCGACTGTGAAAAGGAAATTTCATTGTCGAAAACACATTTTCAAGTCAATTCCACACGCTACAGAAGTTTATCTCGATTCTCTTATATTTTTTGTCACTCCCGTATTGTTTCATTCTCTTACTTCAGTCTCAAAACTTTCAACCACGGAAATTCACGTCTCTTATATTCTTCCAACAGTGACGGGCATTGTATTATTTTTTAAAGTAAAAGGAGCGAGGATGAAATGCAAATGTGGAGGATTGGAATCTTATGACAACTGAAAATGGTTCGCGAGAATTAATGGAATTTTTAATTCGAAACTAGAATCAAATGCCTTCACTCCCAGGGTCTTGGGTACAAACTTCGGATACCACTAAATTTGTTTTTCAAATATCTGAGAAACTTCTGGGACGAGGTAGTTTTAATTGTAATATTTTGAATTGTAAATTCCCCAGCTTTCCAATAAATTAATTTCCCCCTTAAAACTCCAATCCTCTTGCCAACAGTCCAATTGAATAAGTAAATATTGAGATTAAAAGAAGAAAGTGTCAGCAGTAGTTTTAAAAAACCAATTGCACGAAAATCGAATGCGCTAAAATTCACATCCCCACATCACCTCTAGTATGAAAAAAAAATCGGAAAACAAATCTGCAGACATAGTCTTTGTTCCTAGAATTCAAAAACCCAAAAAAAGGGCTCTACACGAAGAGGCTATTCGTGCGTGTCCCCCAGCTTGTAATAAACAATAATGGCCTCTCACCACCCTCACTAAGAACGTCGACCTATCCCCCCCATAGATTGACGCGCCTTTTGTCTCCCCGGGTTTTTCAAAACTCCCTTTGACGTCTTCAAAACGTCCAATGCCGTACATATATACATACTTCACTCCTTCAGAATGAACAAAAAGCACATGTAGGAGATTCTTTATAAAAGTGTGAAAGGGAGTGGACTCTTTGTCCTCAATTTTTGTTCACCCTCCTTGTGTTTTCGTATTTTATCTCTTAGTGGAGATGAGACGAAAAGGGGAAAAAAATGGAAAAAATGGTCAATAAAGTGAATGTACTGCAGGCACTCACCGGAATGTAACCGTCTGGCTGTGGTCTCTCAGTGTCCCTGAAAAACACGTTGGAAAATGATTCGTCAGGGTGACTCTGCTAATACTCAATGGGGATTTACTATCTCAAAGTAATAACGAACACGTTCACGCTCATTTTTAAGAATTTACCTTCCACGTCGCTGTATCACAGGCGTTTGTGGGGTACTGTCGTGGATTATCACCTGGTCTGCATCAATTTCTTCGCATTCAGAGCTCTCGTCCAAATCGTCTGTTTCCAACAAAATGATGGAAATTATCAGTATCTTGACAAAATAAAATTCTTTGAGATGGATTTACAAGATTTTGTAGGAGAATCAATTGTATACACCTGATGTTGACAATCAGTGAATTTGTTTACAACTGATTCCTCTAAATTGGACTAAACTCTTGCTACTTAAAAGTCACATCTCCCACTCAATGAATGAATGTTTACATTACAGGCTACGTTCATGAATATTCAATGACGAATTCTAACCCATAGGCGGTTCGATATTGACGCCAATGTTTTCACCGGTGTACAGTCACTTTATCGGATGTAAGCGAATTGAAATACATTGTAAAATGGATTAAATGTATCAACGCAGTGGGCAATAGTAGCCATTCTAAAACCTTTATCCTATGAAACACGAAACCGGCTAAATTAGCTGTTAATGCTACTGTGACCCATAAAATCAATGGATTCATCCGAAAGCGTGCTGCGTGTAACCCCATGCTGTATTTCCATTCTCCTCTTTTGCTTCCTCACGTCACCCCAAGCCCTGCATCACTATCTCTTTTTCATCGAGTAATCTGACTAATCCCAGTGTAAGTCAATGGATTCCATCGCCCCCTCCCCCCGGCCCCGTTATCTTATTCTTTTAAATTAGTAAATTTAAGGATATCCAAGTACTTTGACTATTTTTTCTCCAGTGAAATGCTTTTCTACTTTTGTAGTCGAGCCTCACAGCTTTCATTTGAGCCCCATTTGACCCTACGTTTCCGGACATTTTACAAAGCTTTTATTATTTGAACTTTGCAGGTCTGAATTTGAATCTTGATATTGAACTGTTAGAAAACATTATAAAAATCTGAAGAAATTTTAGAAAGTTTACTTTTGGAGGAAAATTGATGAAATAATTAAAAATTTGCAATTTTTGAAAATTATGATCCTGTTCTATAAATAATTTATAAACAATCAATTTTCTACCATAAAAATCATTTGTTCGGAATCGTAACAAATTTATTCATATTCAGAATTTTATCATAAATCACTTTTCATGCCTAAAAAAAGAAGGTTTCCGAAAGTTTAAACAATTTTAATTATTTATTTATAAATAACAAATATTTAAAAAATAATAATTCTGTGCAAAATGAAATTTGGATGACACTGAATATTCATGATTTTTTTCAAATTTTTCTCACGCAATTTGATTGACAAATTTGATGATTGAAAATAGTTGAATCTGTAGTGTGGTCCGTACCAAACTGTAAAAGATACTTGGATATCCTTAAGGAATTTTAGGAATTGGAAAAATTCCGAGAGAGTAGGAGTTCCATTAAATCGATTTCACTCACCCTCCATCATTTGCTGTTTGCGTATACGAGACATTACGGGACTGTGGCGTGGTGTTACTTGGCCAAGTAGATCGTCGATGTTTGTGTGGTTACCAATGAAGAGGGGTAGGGTTGATGGCCGTTTCCTGTAAGATTTACGGGGTGTCGAACGGCCAAGTGACTGAACGTTGTCGTAGGGCGAGCCACGACCCTCGTAACAATTGGGTGGTTCTGGTGGATTCTCGATCTTCATAGAAACAATCAGATGAGAAAATACTTTGAGAGTGCAATTCAATCATTTTTTTTTTGGCAAATAAATTTCCTTTTGTTGAGATGATTTTAGGGATGGTTTATTGAATGATTTTCGGTCTTACCCCCTCGGGACTAGCACGATCACCAAGTGGCTCGTCCGGAGGTGGTGGGAATTGAAGAGGAAATCTTGATATTGAGCTCGATTGTGACGGTAATATTTCAAATTTTTCCAACGACTCGTCTGAATCGTTGGAATTGCTATTTGTCTCTCGATCCGGGGTTATTTTTTGAATGCCATCCGGTATATTGGAATTACTGTCCATCCACCAAGCTCTCTCACCGGACTCTACGTGACTTATCCTATGGTGGCTCCTCGTATGTGTCTCGTCCTCAACGAGGCTCACTGAGTTGTCACCACTGGGGTTGCTAACGCTTATCGGTGACACTGTGGCAACTGGGGGATAAACCTCAATGCCCTCAGGCACGTCTGTTGGATCCTCACTCAACCACCAGGCTCTCTCTCCAGACTGCTGATGCTTTAAACGATTCCTACGTTCGCTTGATGTGCGACTTGAATTTTTTCTCGACACTGAGGATGATGCTGACGTTTCTTTTTTCACCTCTGTATCTGTATCCACCAACCACCAGGGACGCTCTCCCGATTCTTGTCGCCAAATTCGTGTCTTGAATTTACCTGGAAAAAGAGTTGCATGATAAATATATGTTTCGTCATTCTCTAGAAGCAAGAAAAATCACTCCAACATTTGTGTTTTTACCGTCATCAGGAAGATTCGTGCTGACAGTTGTCTCCTGGCTGATCTCATCCTGACAAACGCTCATCCTTTCAACACCCTCAGGCACATTCTCAGAGTTCGAGTCCATCCACCAGGGTTTCTCGCCCGATGATTGATGTCTCAACGTCCCCTGGCCCGTTCTCTCGCAACTCTTTTCGTGTGAAAAACCTCGACTATTTCCCAAGCTCAACGAAATTGATTTGTTTACCGACGGTGACCTCGATGCCCTTACCCCCTCTAAATTCTTCTCCAAATTCCCCTCTGTGTCCTCCGTATTTTTCAAGAAATTTGTAACAGGCGTGAGTGTTCTAATTAAAAATGATTTGGCTTCCTCAGATTTCACAGACTTTTCACTCCGCGATCGTGGACTTGGCGACGGTCTAGGAGGTTTCTCCGTATTAAGTGACAACTCGTCGGCAGAGGAGGCAAGCGCACTGGTCCTCGAAGAATCTACGCTGATGGCCCTCTTTCTTTCCATCTTAGGAGAATTGGAAATTCTCTTGTTACGAATCCTCTTATTAGAAGCACATCCCTCGTCATCCTCGGTGCTCGAAGACTCACTGCTCGAATCACTGCTCTCTGAACTTGAATTTTTTCTCCTCATCATCTTGGATCCACTTCTAGAGGTCTGTAATCCACTGAATCTCTGCAGTGATGAACTCTTCGAATCACTCCTTACAATATTACAGCTTTTTCTCTCACTGTTATTCGACTCTGAGTCTTGTGAACTAATGGAGACACTTCTCTGCATTTTTTTGCCCCTTTTTCGTTCATATTGAAGCCTCATAGCTTCACTAGCATCGGGCATATTAAGGGCAGACTTGCGGAAATCTTTGTTAACGTATTTTGTCACTGGTGATATCTTCATGTTTGCATTAACCTCACAAGTTTTAGGCACCGGTGGCTTTCCACGTGCTTCCGAACCACTTGTCCTCATACTATTCACTTTACCACTGGACACCGAAGAGGACTGAGATCCGTTGCTTCTTATTTTTGCCTGATGACTAGGGGCGCTCGAGGATTTACATCTGCCAGTTGGCAAACTGACAGATGAATCCGACGAGTCGGTTCGCGTCATTTGACGCTGATTCTGATTCTGATTCAGGGACTTTGTTGAGCTATTACGTGATATTGATTTGGCTACACCTTCCGATGATGCTGTTGAACTTACTGAACCTCCACGCCTCTTGATCTGTTTCTCTCCCTTCGATCCGTCGGCGCACAGATTCTCAGACTCTCTGTGATCACTCGTATCGTCGTTATATGAATTGAATTTTTGGCTCAAAGATCGGCAATATTTACGGGGGTTGTTGTTAGATTTCTTGGCTTCTTTTTCCTTTTCATTTTGATCAGTTGAAGATGGTTCAGGCTTTGCCATTATTTCGCTATTAGAGTCTTGTTTATTAGCAATTTGAGTGTTTGAGGAGTTTAATTGTGAAGCTCCATTATGATAACCAGAGTTTTGAATTTTTTGGCTAATATTTCTTGAAGGTATCGAAGTCCCTTCATATTTCTTAGCATTGTTTTCCTCTTGAGTAAATTGTTTCTCTTGCACTTGAGTACGTGCAGATTTGTCTCTAGAATCACCAGACTGTTGTTCATAACTAAAGCTACTGATCATCCTCGGGCCATAATTCCGTGAGTATGAACCAGACGAGGGGAATTTGTCGAGGTATGAAGGCCAAACTCTTCCACTGGCAAATCTCGAGTACCTCGTTGAACAATCGTCTACTTTATCCGACTGTATCTCAGCGTCCTTCGTCTCCGATTTCCTCTTCAACTTTGTTATTTCCTTTTGAATTAATCTCGCTGCCTCCGCTCTCCGATTACGCACGAATGACGATGATGCCGGGGGAGCCGGTGATGTGCCTCTTGAAATTACTGTTAATGTAACAACACTCTCGACTTCTGTCTCTTGAGGAGACAAGTTGTCATTTTCCTTGGGAATAGTTGTTTCCGGCTTTTTCGTCACTGCACTACTACTATTTTCAATCTCTCTTGGTTTTTCGGTTGCAATCTCACCACTGGCCGACGGCAATGTCTTACATTCTTCTTTGAAGTTTGAAGGTATTTTCACACTGGGTGAACGCAGTCTCTCTGAGCTTGAATAGCCAACGGGGGTTGCTGTTCGTTCACCAGCACGTGATATAGAGGAAGCGTATCTAGATGAGCTGGGATACCTCGAGGCAAGCGGAGTTGCTTCAGCTGAAAAGTTTAAAAAACAATTATCCTCTTTTTTTTCACCTCTCCGAAATTTTGGAAATTTTTTGAATTTTTTTTTTTTGCTAAATGAATCAGAAAAGGGAATTAATCGGAAAGTTGTTGGTTCGACCCCTAAGAGGTCACACCTACATTGCAGTGTTTAACTTTCACCAGTCATTACAATGTCTATGGAGATTTTTTAAGTGAAAGCAATGTATAAAATTTTTATTCCCCCAAGTATTTCACTTACTTGAACTTGCACTGCGTCCATAATTCGACACTCTCGGGTAAACTCTGAAGCTCTTTGTAGCAACTTCTGGACTTGGCTCTCTCGAACTTCTACAAGTTCCGCCAGTAGCACGTACACTTTTGTACGATGAATTCTCAGTGCGCTCCTTCCTTTCCGCTGGTCCCACGTCATAGTTACAACGTGCTCCGGAACCTGGATACGTATTTGCTATATAGCGTTGTGTTATTTCTTGCTCTCTGGGTTTATCACGTGATGCAATGCTGCGATTGTATTTATCGAGGACGGATGAGGGTCGCTCTGTTGTTTTTGTTGGATATGAGTATTTTTCAAAGAGTATTTTCTCTGGTATTGGACTCTTTCGAACATCTTCGGACGATGTGCGACCGGGATTTAGGCGATTTTTATCCGTTTTTTGAGCTGGAACAGCGATTATATCAGTTGAATAATTTTGCGAATATGCGGAAAAGAATTTATTCAACAACAAGTTGGGTAATTCTCACTTGAAAATTTGTTGTAAGTTTGATCATGACTCTTGATGTCCCTCTTATTGAGCGCAGTATTACCATAACCAGATGAAACCACACCGTTGATTCTGTCCTTACCAGCACCCAGTGCTCTCGATGCACTGGTCAAATTACTCGAGTAGCTCGTACGGTAGTTCGGCAGACCGGCGCTCCCGGATGAGGGATTTCGGGCCAACGTAACGCCCACACTGGCGCCACTTCTGGGCCTATATCCCGATGGATCGTTCTGCAAACATACATGAATAATCGAATCGATTTATCTACGTACATTATGTATGCAGGAAAGGTAAACAAGGTTCATTAAACAAATCACCAGGACTACGTGAATATGAAAAATTGAATTCAAATTGGGAATTTTGTGGAGGGAGCAGAGGGCGTTTTGTGGAGAAAAAAAAATGTATCAATTTTTTTATTATCAATGTTCATAATACTCTCAGTATATTCTTGAGGGCGTCTTGAGAACGCCAAAAAAATACTGCCATTTGTCGGCATTTAAATTTTATCGTTCTACACTGATAGAAGGGATTAGTTATTGTTAACGAATGGATTTTGGTTGGAGATTAGGGTCTATTCGGTCCCACCAAGTGTTCATTCGTTAATAGTTAACGAATGTATATTTGAGGAGCCGTGCTTGACTTGACTTTCGCCATTCAAGTGAACCATTTGCTAACTATTCACGAATATTCATTTGGTCATATTCAACTCTACCATTCGTGAATAGTTAACAAACCTCGTTTGAGATAAATGAATCATTCTATCAGTGTATCGACCTTCTGTAGGATTCATTTTATTGTAAATCATTGCTTGTCAATCATCGTGCCTTGTTGTGGCGGTGTTAAAGGTTCTATCGATACCATCAATTGAATTGGCATTCATAGTTGATTTTTTTTTTACAAGAGGAGCTAAATATTGAGGGAACGATTGAGCCCGCTGGCGAGTGAAAAATAATAATCTGTCAATTCGGTTCAATTAACATAAGTTTTGGCAGGATGCCTCTCTCACGCGTCGAAAATAGATGGCCGGTGGCAAGCCCAGCACACACGAGAGTATTAACCTCTTCTGTCTCTCTGTTTTTCCTCAACTATAACGGGTGGGCCAAAAGTGAAAGTACAAATTTTTGCAATAACATTAGTAATTTTTTCTCTGTGAACAACTCTCCATTCATCTGGAGATATTTTTTCTTATTTAAATTGCATTAGACATAAACGAAAATAATCATCATTGCAGATGATGCATTAAGCTCAAGTGTACCCTTGAAATCTGACGAGCGGGCTATTCTCCAGTGTCTTTTTTCATCGTGAATATCGAGTATGTAGATTCCAATCTTCCGATACTCTGCTTCGCTGGCCCGACACAGCATATTAAATATTTTCAACAATTTCATAAGGTGCAGATGAATTTGGGTACCTACAGTCTCGCTCGATATTCATTTTTCAACATTTCAATTATTCCGGTGGAATAATCATTCACTTCTAACTGCCATTCCAAATCAAGAATTAATCAATTAAATTGTCAATAAAGTGGAAACGTTAAAATGTACTATTCTCATCGAGTTGCACCCTCTCTCCGCGCTCTCTCTTTCTCCCTCGCTCTCTTTCGTTTATACGCACGAGACGCTCGTTATTATGGTAATGCTATTCGTGGCGATAATGGAATTGGGACAGTGCCTCGAAAAACCCCTCGCTCCACCTCTCATACTGTATCGTCCAAAAGCGATTCTGAAGAATACCCTGAGATAAGGCTCAGTACTATAGCATTGATGTTTCAGGAATAATCAGGTTGAATAACAAAACGATCATCTTATGAAAGTAGCTGATTTGGATTCAATTCTTTCTGAATTGATTTTATTATTCTGGCACCTGTTGGTTGTTCTTTAAGTGAATACACGGAGAGAAATATTCAAGAAAAATTACGGAACATTTCACGTAATCCGCAAGCGACAATCGTTTTCAGTGAATTTCTATAGGAATATAAGAGAATAAATCTGAAACGTTCAGTAAATTTTCGGGTCTGTCACCGAAAAAATACGAAAAAGTCACGTAATTTTTCTGGAAGTTGTAAAATCTAACAGAAACTTCAAGACTTATTATGCCTCAGAACATGAAAATTCTTGGATGTTTAAGAATTTTTACGAAAAGTTCCGGAAAAATTACGGAACGTGTTGTTAAAATCTCCCCCTCACGGTGACTCATGGCTAGCCGTGAGGCGTCGGACGGATGAGTAATTTTTACGGAACAGATCGTAGAATTTACGAGACGATTGACACTTTTTATTGAATTTTACTTCGCTCCCAGATTACGTTTCGAAACGTAATTTTTACGTCTTTTTTCTGGTAATTTTTATTGAATATTTCTCTCCGTGTATAAATAGTGAATATTGAGCAGAGTTTTTCAATTGAAAAATTTCCACAGATTTTTCACCCACTTTTATATTACATTTCAATCATGTCCAATAATGCACAACTCAATTGATGAAAAACGCCCATTCATTAATTCAGCAATAGAGATAACTGTGAGGCAAATGCACACGTGCGATAATAATCAAACCACTATCATCCGCTGCAATCAAAGACCACGATGCACAGATTGTTTTTTTTCCTCCATGAGTTTCCTCTGATTGATTTTCCGGCCTGACCTTCTTTTTTCTCTGGAATATCGAATTGATTGGGCGTTGAGTTTCTAGGGGAAAAGCGTGTATTGTATTGAAAGTCCGAGAATAGATCTTGCTACTACGTGACGGAATGAAATTGAGAGCAGTGTATAGAAACACGTGTGTTGAACAAAAAGGGAAATAGAGAGAAAAAAAGGAAGAAGAGGTGAAGGAAATACAAGTGAGAGCCAATCGACCTTGCTTGTAAGAGAATTCGCTTGTAATAGGTAATGGTGGGGATTTTTCACACAGTCATCGGGTCTCCATCGACCGAAAGGATAAGAACGAGTGGTCAGGAGGAAAGGATGGGTGAATGGCAAGCGGACTCTCATCAATCCCTCATTCTTTTGTCGTAGAAATTATCCACTTAATGGGACTGAATAGGAACATGAAATTTTCGTTATCGCAAGCTTGACAATTTGTTGCCCACTGTGGCCTGATGGTAAAATTTTAGTTTTACAATTGTTTACACTTGACGCAATTGGTTCGCCATAAAATGCTCATACCACACTGAGAAAAATATAATTCTTCTGACTATATTCCATTACCATCGAATTATAGTCAAAAAGTCCTCAACAATTTTTCATGGGTTACGGTAACTATGGCCGGAGAAGTAATTACTACAATGGAATGTAGTCATTGCAACTATTTTATAGTTCTCCTCACGATAGATTTGTCATGGTTACTTTTGAACTTTGGTTAGTTTAACTGCATTTTGATTTGCAGTATCGTTCACCAAAACGCCTCAACTATTTTCTTATTGTAAATCGAACTTCAGATTTTTCTCTCAGTGCAAGTATATATTCACTGAATTTACCAAATAGTGTTCACAGCGGCTTATTAATTTTAAACAGCCATTCATGTGTATCCATTTCGATGAATCCAAAGCCATGAAACATTGAATGAGAATTTAATATGCTATCAGAATCACTTGTATCATAGCTGGATGCATCGAGCCAGAATAAATAGATAACCGTGGATAATAGATGAGGGCCATAATAGCCAACACTGGGAGGTCCAATTAATTGAAGAGTGTTAGCCTCATTTAACCTACGACAGACTCTCACTTCCCGGCATGTTTATTACAATTTATGATCCATCACAACAAATGTCATAGCTGATGTACAGTGAGGGGCACGTGTTCACTGTAATTGGGACATCTATACTGCTGGCTATATTTTTCTCAAATGGAAAAGAAAATATTTCAAAATATTTAATTTTATTATTTTTCATCCGGCCTAAACAACACTCTCTTTATACGATTCTACACTGAGAGAAAAATATGATTCTTCTCACTATATTCCATCACCATCGAACTATAGTTAAAAAGTCCTCAACAATTTCTCATGGGTTACGGTAACTATGGCCGGAGAAGTGATTATTACAATGGAATGCAGTCATTGCTACTATTTTATAGTTCTACTCACGATAGATTTGTCGTGGTTAGTTTTGAACTTTGGTTAGTTTAACTGCATTTTCAATTGCAAAAATTACGCTTATGAAGTTACTATAATGTTATCTGCCGCATACAAAAAAAATCGTATCGTTCACCAAAACTGCCTCAACTATTTTCTTATTGTAACTCGAACTTCAGATTTTTCTCTCAGTGTACAGTGCATACTTGTCTGTGTGATTGTTTACGTGGTAAAAGTCTGTGCATTATGCTGTTTCAACGACTATCTCTCGCCTGTTACTGGTCAAGTTATTTTACTGTTTGGACTTTGGCTGACTGCCAAATTTTTTGGCAGGTCGAGTCTAACGTTAAACAAGTCTATGAACACTCGTATGGAACAAGAAACTCGTTCCAAAATCCATTTACAAGAGCAGAAAATACATTTATCATTATTCGAAAGTGGAAAAGATGTAATGAGATATTGTATTTCATTGCTCATCGACAAAGACAAATTGTGGCGCGATAGGTGCATTGTTATGACCTCGGTCGGTGCGAGAATTCATCGAACCGAGAATGTGCAGAATCGAGATGTTTTCAGGTATACGAGAAGGGTGGGCTCGAGGTGCTATACTTAGTACACGTAATTGGAAAACTTCCGGTGCCTCGGTTTATACAGTATCCAAGTTTGACAAAGCCTCCGCGAGTGGAACGATCAAGGCCAGGGAGAAAACAGATAAAGTGAGTCAACGTTGAAGTTGAATGCCATGGCAATAAATTCAAACCATTTTATTCCCATTTTTTTTTTCAACTCCACAGAACATTTAATTAAACATTGCGCTGCAACGAGCTTGTGGAATTCCAATTCTGGGGGGTCTTTTGAATTAATCAAAAAAGGATTCCAAATTAAATTTCATGCCCTTTTGATGTTTTTTTTATCGACAAATTGCTAGGATGTGAGGATCTTAGACCAAATATTTAGGGAATTTCATCTGGAGGGATCAAAGAATACGTTTCACCGGAGATTTTTTCACAAGTTCAATAATTTCTTTTCTCAAAGGAGTAGAATTTAAGCTTTAAACAGAAAACATGCATTTTCACATGAGGAAGAAATAGAAAACACTTTGAATGGATTTTATTAGGAAAAATAATAATAAAAGTCACACGGGGTGGGGGGTTTGAATGACCCCCCCACCCCACCCCCTTGAATAAAGCCCCATGTCTCGGCGGTAACCGCAGAAAATCCTTTGGCCAAGTGCCAAGTCAAGCGTTCCTATATCCATGATACCTTTCACCCTGGCTTAATGTACGTACATTTGGCTTGAACTTGTAAAATAGATGGACGTCAATCAGGCAGGCCAGCTGGTAAGCGCGATAAAACTATTGAAAATTTCCCACGCATGCAAAACACTTTTCAAACTAAAAGTGATGAAAAAAAAATGTCCAAGTTGGAACTTTCTATGCTACTCGAGTATTCCCAATGCATTATATCACCACTTTTTGTGGAAATTTTATATGTTATAATGAGGGGTTGCTTGTCGAGTAATTCACAAGAATTGCCCTCCTCCAGACTTGCAGATTACTGTCGAGAGGAGCGTAAAGTTTTCGGCCGTTATTACTAAATGAATGGTTTGCTATTCATGGGATACGAGTGAAAGAGAGACATTTCTACAGTTGAGTATGCAGGATCACGTTTCATGACTCTGAGCGAGGTCACTGATTAGAATAGGAATAAAAGAGTTTAATGCAAAGTCTTAATAGCTGGATTATTCCCATTCAAAATTATTGACGACAAATTGAAAGTAGAATAAATCAACGTGACATTGCCGGAATGGAAATGAGTTGAATTTGTACATCAACTTTCGCGAAATTGTTTTCATTTGTCATTTGTGTTTCGGGGCATCTAAAATTTCATTCAAGAAAATCTTGTAAATATTTTCGCTCTTTTCCTCAAATTTCGCTTTATTTATTCATTTTTCTTTTTGCCATTCGTTTTGCCCTCGGGTAATGCTATATTCCAAAGTCCCTGTAGACATGCAGAGGCATCTCAAAAGCTATTTAAAGCCCGGAGGGGTCTTCGTCTTTGCCCCTTTTAGTTTTTACCCTGAATAACGAAAAGAAAAATGAGGAAAAAGAAAGGTGAAATATGAAAGTGTGAAAAAATCTCAAGCTCGTGTGTTTTACTATATTTTTATTTATTTACTTATTTATTTTTTTTACCTTTATCTGGTCTTGAAGGGTGTAAATACCGTACTGAAAGAGGATAGGTGGAGGAGTATATGAGACCCTTGTGCGGGCGCCGGTGCATTAAATATGAATGCGATGTCGCTTTATATTGCTCCTATTCCTATATGCTCATACGTTGGGATGAACATTATGTGAGTGCAGGTATCCGGGCACACATCACTGCTGTCAATCAGAGGGGATCCTTTCACGTGTAAACTGAGTTACACCGTGGATAAATTGTGGGAAAAAGCTATCATACATGCTTTGAAACTTGGCTTTAGCAAGAATTTCTGCGGTAACAGAAGACGCCTCAGGCCATTCTGTGCGATGATGTTAACATATGATTTTCCCGTGAAGATTATTTTCGTAAAAAAATTCCAAAGACGATGCCACATTTTCAGAAATACACCGCATCAAATGAAAAAGGAAATCCCCGCAGTGTATTAGATATGGCTTACTCCCGAGAGGCACGCGACAGCCAGACGATGTTTGGGGAAGACCCATCTAATTTTGCCATTCAGAAATGTACGGTATTTCGGTTGCCCTGAGTTTATCGAGGAATACGAATCAAATTTCAACGAAAAAAAAAATCATGCAGAAAACTGGAATAAATCTAACAGGAAAATAAAAGAACGGGAAAAACAAATTTGTCTCTGCTGTGTTTGATGAATAGTAGCAGTTATTGTACGGATGTATATAGCGATTTGGTGGAGCAGAGATTAAGTGAAATCGTCGACGTTGAATTTGACGCTGGAATTTCGGGGGAACGGGCGGAGCAAAGATAGGGCAGGGGGGGAGGGGAACAGGGCAATATTTTGCATAGACCATTTGCCATTGCTGAACCAACATGAAAACCCTTTTCTCCACCACAGTCGTCATGGACGCCGGATGGTAGAATTAACCAAATTCATTTGCATATTGCATAACCTTACTCGAAAGCCACGACTCGAGGCCCCTTTAGGTCAAACGTTATAGAACATCGAAAACCACTGGCCAACGTGTAATCCGGTGCATCAGTAGGGATCCCCATCAATATTAAATTTCTGTAATATTACGCGGATTTGACCCTTACATTATTGAAGGTTTAAAATATGTTGATTCAATTCTTCAAATAATATAATATTAATAATCTGATTTTTACGGATAATGAAATATTCAACATTTTTGTTAATATGAGTCTGTAAATTTACTACTAAGTGAATAAGTCAAGTTTTTTTGAAAAGGGATTTTCGATTACACAAGTAATCGTCAATCTTCCTACCTCAAATTATTGATTGATAAAATAGTTAAAAATTTGAATATTTGAATTGATGATACTTAATTACTCAAAAAATTTCAAGGTTGATGTTATCTATTTAAGGGCTTCAAAAGTAATCGTAATAAAATATTACAAATTTGACTATCCCTGTGCATCAGGTCTGAGGGCCGTAGGAAATGCAGCCGGGGGGACCAATTAACGGGTTGGTCAATGAAAACATGGGGTGAACGCAGAAACTGTTTTTATTCAGTTCATTTGTTACTTCGATTGGACGGGAGATACTTTGATTCATATCAAATATTCATATCAATTCAGTGAGTTTCCTCCATCTACTCATCCATTTTCTACAGATGATAATCGTAAAATCATTCTTCCATTTGTTTACGAGAACGGATGATTTATTATTATTTTTTTTTTTGAAAACTCTACTTTTTACTTTACGTCCAAAAATGAAATTTATCCCATAAATCTCTACAAATTTTTTGATATTCCCCTATTTCCCTCAGACAAGAAACTTGTTTGTTGAACCTAAAAAAAATGAATAGAAAATTTAACGTGGAGCCACATCCTTGGAAAACACGTCCGCACGATGCGTATCACTGTTTACATGATTCTCGACAAACCCCAGTATATACGACGTATGCACCGAGATGGGGAGAAGGTGAATGAGCACGTGGCAAAGTGAATATTATACAAGCACGCTTCAGCATCAACGTAAATCTCAGTAATGCGCATACTTTTTTTTCATCTAAACTTAAATTTCATTCTCATGAGGTAAAATTTCTCGAGAATGACATTAAAACATTCGACAAATAGTAAATTACTCTTAAAAAAAAATGACTCACATAGCTTTTGTATGAACTCATAATATAAAACCCTCTTTTCGCACTTGTACAATCACTTTCGCTTGAATTTGGAGATTCTAAATATTGATGAATTATAAACAAAAATCACACAAAAATATTCGCCGCACGCCGATTCTCTTTACAACTCCAAACGTTGAACATTTTACGTAATTATCTGAGAATAATAGATCAGAATGGAAATACGGAAGAGAGTACGCGAGGTGTTTCAACCACGTTTCAGCGTCGAAGTTCGGACCTGCCTGAGTTATCCGCAAGTCTCGAGTCTTTCGGTCCTACTCTCCGTCTCGCTTCTGCTACACATTTTCTGTCTCACTTGAAGATTTTTCTCCTCGTTTCTGTTCTACACACTTGCATTGACTCTACGCATACTACACATTATCTCACTTTTGGTATAAGCACTTTTGGCATTTATCTCACTCTAATGCTGCGTCGAGCCCTATTTTAAGAATAGCTTTAATCTCCCGACTCCCCCGGTAGCACTAGCGTTCGTAACGTCTTCCTCTTTCTACTCGCCCGAGCTTCCTCAATTTTTCTCTCTTACGACTCGTATGTTGTCAATGAAAATAATTACATAACCAGTCATAATTATTTGTTTACTATTTTTTCCCAATTAATTTGTCATAATGCAGGAGAAATAGAACAATTGTACTCTAGTCTTTTAGAGTTGATAACTACTCATATTTTTCCCAGATAAAAAAGTGCTGTGAGTGCAATGAAAAATTTCTATGCTCGGGTATGAATAATTATTGTTAGAAACAGTTCCTTGCCATCGTTGTTATCGATTGAGTACCAAAGTAACACATGCATTTAGCGTGATAATTCAAAAGTAACTCACGAGCGTCACCAGTGTCTGTTGTGCCCAAGGTAATGTAGATCTCTGTTGAAAGCTCTGAATCGAGTGGGCAGTAGTAGTTGCCATACGTTGTCAGACATGAATCGTTGATTGGTGTCGCTTCGCGTTGAATGGCCCAATAAGCGCCCCCAGGTTACTGAAAAAATTATTTACAACAATGAAAATGTAAACTTTTTGTCGACTAAATTGGAAATAGTGAGATATAAGACATTGGCGACTGTAGAATGGCTTTCCAGTCTGCACGTATTTTATTACTATTTCACTTCAATCGTTCAAGAGGAATGGGTTAAGTAGAAAGTTTCAAAGGTTTAAGAGCTTTTCCAGAGATTGCGGAACGAAACTTCCAAATAAATGAATAAATAAGTAAAATCAAGGATAAACCACATGCATTATTCCAGTAAAACTCCGTTTGCACTTTTCCGAAAAAAAAAGGAAGAGAAGAATGTAAGGGATGAACACATTTCCGTTTGCAGTCAGAAGTTGTGAACAGCGGCATTTCAATCTTGAAGTTTATGCGCTACCCTCGTTGTGAGCTGTCTAAAGCCAAGACTCTGACGAATAGACATGCGATCACTCCATGAAATTTCACCAGAGAATTAGGAGAACTTTTCTGTAGAATCTACTGGGGAATTAACCCTATATCAAACTCACGTTGCATCAGTATTAAGAATAATATATATGTATATAAACTTTTCATTTTGGCATTTTTTCCTCTAGAGATTTTTAAGCAACAGTCTGCAATGGCAACGCCACCACTATTCATCTCCTCCAACTAGAAATATTTTTGTTCTCAATATAGGTACTCTGATATAAATATCCAGTGGCACGCAATAAAAATATCGGCGAGCAACAGTTGGTGCTAGCTTCCGTGCTCCCCTACCTCCTTCCCACCACGTTGGCCATTACAATTGTTCTTTTTTTTCTCATCTCGAACACAATAAGCGTAAATATTTATCAAGAGTCATTGGTTTATTTTTGCTTTTCCCTATCATCTTGGCCACGTCATCCCGTTGATTAATCATCACGTTATAATAAATTTGACTCAGTGGAGACACTCAGGTTTTTCGGGAGGACTATCTTAACTCGTGAGTCATCCGTTGGTGCTTACGAAATCCAAAATATGAATCAAGATGAAGTACATCAAATTTATTGCCAAACTTTACTTATCCTTCTATCACTAGAAGAGGAAAAATAATGTTTTCATGAGTACTTTGACTTTCCTATTATTTTTTAATTCTTGAAAATGGGATGAGAAGCATTGGGCATTTATCTTTTTAGTTTGAGAAATAATGAAAAAGTAATGAGTTATAGGCGATTGAAATAGTTTATGATTCCATTGACAAAAATGCCTCTGGAATGAGTTTCAACTTTGTTCTCATAGAGTTTTCAAACGAACTCTTTTATAATTAGAAACAAACAAGTAGGTCAGATATTTCCCGTATCTTCATAAAAAGAACTACTGGCCATTCGACAGATCATTAAAATGAACGCTCAAATTCCTCGGGGGAAATAGCCTCAATAACCTCGTATAAACAAGCAACTTAATGGTAACGACCTGAAAAACAATTGCAAAGTCCATTGAATTAATCGGAAGGCCTGTTTATAAACACAACGACCATGAGTCAAGATCTGACGATACCTTGAGGACGAAGTGAAGTTACTGGCCAGCAGGGTTACAAGCTGGGTGACGTTATATTTAGAGAATTGGGGCAGCATGCCTATGAGCAAGAGGGAAGAAGAGACAGTTCATTTATTCGTCCTTTCGAAACTGAGAAATGAAATTTCAAATTTCATATCTTGATGAGTGTATAAGAATAAGCTTATCTTTATCGTCATTACGAAAATTCTAGATCAACCATCTATTTTGGCATTTTTGTTCTCTACTAGTGGGTTGATCTTGGAAAGTACCCTCAAGGTCTGCTTTTTGACGGGCAACTTTGACCCACCCAACAATGAATTTGCCAGACGTCAAATGAGACTTGTCGAGAATAAAAGTCATGGATGTGTGCTTGTGGTATTCGCCAGAGATCTTTGAGTTATTCTTGTAAAACTTCTTCTTGTGCGAAACGTTATTTTGTGGAATGCGCTTCATGGAGGGCGCCACAGACACGCCATTGGTACGCGTGAATTTGAAACTCAACAGATAATAATAAATTTTCAAGCTTCATAGGCGACATGAATTGTGGTGGGTTGCATGAGTTGGGCAATGCATTTGGAGCAGTAGATGAAGTTTCATTGGAATCAATGAACAGTCGCTAGCTCTTCATCATCACTATTGAGTGAAAAGGGGCAATTGTAGAGTGAAATACACGAAGAGGAAAATATGAGAGTGATGCTGGCTAAGGAGAGAGGGGACAATCTCAAATTACGCAGTGAGCTCTACCTAGGCCGTCGAGAATCTTTACACTCTACCGACAGGGCGACCTTTTATAGACACTCAACGGTAGTGGGGGCCAAGTGGGAGGACGTTTGAAAATCTGGCGAAAACTGGCCGTTGTGGAAAAATAATTTTTTCATTTCATCAATTTATGGCATTTGTTGGAAGTAATTAAAGCTCCAGTAATAAGTCTCATCACTTTGACAAATAGTTTGAAGAATTCATGAGAAATTGTCGAATGAAATTGTCATGAATGTGGAAGTAATTAGATGAGAATTATGGTAGGCAAATGAAGAGACCAAGTGTCGACGAGCGATCAGAAACCGCAAAAATAGTCTCATCTATCATCATAACTCCACCTCCGCATTACTTACTTTCGCCGTTTCTAATCTCAACAAACTGCAATCTATGCCAAATAGATATTCCACCATTGAATCTAAATCTAAATAAAATCCTACCCCACCTCAATTGTTAGTCAAATTTTCCCTCCCACTGGCGAGAAAGAAAAAATGCCGAAAATAACGCGAAGAAAGTCACATGGAATCCACCCCCTCCGACAATGACAGTATGAGTTGGCGTGTTGTTTTTGGAAATACGAAAGTGTGCTTCAACACCAACAATACCACTTATATTGAAGTGACTAAACAGGAGGAATAGAAAGACTTCCTCAACTGTTGAATCATGTGCGCATGAACATAAGTGCACACAGAAGGGCGAAATACTGATGGTGATCCACTGCGCATGCGATCTTGGTCATTTTGATGGTGGTATGGAATGGCCGGCGCGCCAAACGAACGACGACGTTACGCGCACTACGAGTAGGGCGCTGGTCGGCACCGAAAGCCCAGAGGAAGACACGACTCGTTGGCCAACGACGGAAGATCGACGAGCCATAAAATTGAAAAAATTTTACGGTGGATATTAATTTTAGTCTTTTCAAATCCATTGAAATTTAACAGAGTTTTCATTTAATTTCATTTGATTTCATTTCTTCTTACCCCTATGAATTCAAATCTTGAGTTACAATTGTTTTTCATTTGAAAATTCTCATTATATTTTTTGGTAAATTATAGTGCGAGGACTATCGACAGAGGCGGTGTGTACATCCCTTCTGAAAACGGGATTATTATTTGAATATCGAAACGATTAGAGTGAAAATAAAAAGAAAATTATGTCGTCGTCAGCGGTAGCGAAAGCTTCAAAGTACACCTATCGCAGCAGTGGAGGTGGAGGCTCGGCCGATGTCAGCATCGAGTATAGCGCCGACCTGAGCGCACTCACCAGGCTCGAGGTATGTTTAAATTTATATGACGATTTTTCTATTAATTCATCATTTCATGATTTTTCACATTATGAGAATAATTGCCTCAAGACGATGGAGAAGAATTGGGGAAAAAAATTGAATGTGTCAAGTACCACTCGGAAGTACTCTGTGTTACCACTCGAGCCGGAAAGTGCTGATAAAATAGCTGGATAAGAGGGACTGTGTAATATAGAAAAAGTTTTTCACAAGTGAATTTAAAAGAGTGAAGACGCCAAAGTTCAGTGCACCATTGAAAGGATGTTAGTGCCAAATCGTTTTAGGAACTTGAAAAAGTGCAACCTGGCAATGTCTGATATAGAATTGCCGTCTGTAGTTCTCAACTCAAAATAGTATCGATTTTTTTAACCTGTGGATTATGCGAGGAGAGCATTCAAGTGACCCTTTTATTTTCAATTTTTATAAATTAGCCAAAAAGTCTGCCATTCCAAGTTTCAATGTACCTGTTTGAGGCTCATTGTCTTGGATATTTGTATTCTCTATTACGTAAATCGTCTGAGAGCAAAAATTCCTCCAATTTCTCAAATCTAATTTTAATATTCTTCTTTTTTCTCAATATTTCAGGACAAAATTCGTCTTCTTCAGGAAGATTTGGAGTCTGAGAGAGAATTGCGTCAGAGGGTGAGTTGGAGAAATGTCATACTGAACAACTTTACCCATCTAATGAACAATTTAAAGAAAAAAATTGATATAATTCTCTGTTTAAATATAGCACTCAACGTTGAAATTGATCCCCTTGCATTCTTTCGCACCTGAAGAGAATGTTTAGTAATAAAATCTCCAGCACTCTCCGTCAACTATTTTTGGATTATACTTATAACTTTGGAATTTTCAACTTGTGTAAGAGTACAAGAAAAAGGGAGAAAAAGAAGGGGAGGGGAGAGAGAGCGACTAGGTCGAAATGTCCAGCTCGGGCGTCGTATCTATTATTAGTTTGAGATTGAGACTGCATTCCTCAAGTTTACGAAAATTGAAGAAAAAAAAATTTGGAAAAGGAAGACAAATTTTGAAGCTCAAGAAGAAATTGAGACATTTTTTTTTTTTGGAAAGTAGCCATTTGTCATAGTCAACGGGAAAAGAAGAATAATATTAATTGAATGATTGTGTGTGTGGTACTGTCCTTCCGCGATAAACGGCTCGTTTGTAATATGAATAAAGCTCCGGATATAGAAGACGTGCGTTGTACGAATTTAGATCACGCTATTCGGGGTGTTGGAACCAGAGTTAACTTGACGTCAAGCTGACCGACGGCACTGAGTAGCTATCTGTGTGGGTTAGAGACGCCACTAAGGTTGGAAACAATGTTTAAGACAAACAATGAGGCTATCATTCGTTCTAAACCGTGCTAAACCGATCGTTTAGGGAGACGATTAGTCTCACTACTTAGTCGAGGGTCCCTTTCAATGATAAACTATCCCACCAAAATAAAGAGACATAATTGCCGAGAAGAAATGTAAAAAAATGTAGCATTTCCTGCCAAATCTCTTGGCCAAATATTACTTTTTCACTTGAAATGATTTTTTTTTTCAATAAATTATGACATACCTAATGCCTTCTAGATCGAACGGGAACGCGCGGACCTCAGTGTCCAAGTGATTCAGCTGTCTGAACGCCTCGAGGAGGCTGAGGGTGGCGCCGAATCTCAGGTAAATACTGAAAAATAAAAACTATGAGTATTGTCTCCATAGAGAGAAGAAAATTCATTAATCTTTGGAACAAAAATAGTTTGAAATCAACAAGAAGAGAGACACCGAGCTTTTGAAACTTCGTAAACTTCTCGAGGATGTTCACCTCGAGAGCGAAGAAACTGCCCACCATCTTCGCAAGAAACACCAGGAGATTGTTATCGATTTCCAGGATCAGATAGATCAGCTCTCCAAAGCTCGTGCCAGGTCAGTCCCACATCCAAATAAACAGATCATGAAAATCCAGTGATGCATTCCAGATACCACGCACCAGCCAATGAATCATAGCAAGTTGTAACAAAATTAAAACAAGAAAAACAAATTCCTCCTTTTTATGGCTCTTAAATTTTTATTTTTCCTCTGAGGAGATTATGCCTGCGGAACTGGCTAGTATCCAAGCATATACACACTGAGAGTGTGTACCTGAAATACATAAACGAGCCGCTCACCACTGATTTTCTAAACATAGGCCCACCCGGTGATTTTCGTTTAAATGAAACCGGCTCTTCTAGTACTTCTACTTATTGGTGAAAATTGCAAGCCCAAGAATATGAAAAAAAAATAATAATATCAATTTCTTTTTTTTTCGTGGAAAAAATCCATCCTAGTAGTTAGGGACAAAAGAAGGAAAGAGTGCATTGAAAAACCGATCCACCTGTTGTCAAGAGTAGTGGTTGACTGGACCGATAAGTAGGAATTTCATATTCTTCCATCTTCTTCCCCTCTTTTTCCACATTTATTTTTTCTCTCACATCAACAACGTGAAACTCACGTAGACATTAACTCGACTTTGCTTATAACTATTTTTAACTCGTATGCGAGAGTCCGCAAAGCCACCACCCCAATGGTTGGCGCGCCATATTAGTACACGGTAGCCGGCCCCTCGAGTCCCCCCCCACTATAGCAACAAAATTGGATGACACCTTACACTAGTCTGAGATGCGTGGGTGGATGTCTAAATATTTTTCCATTTTTCATTGTACGATGATTTTGGTTGGAAACAAGCGATAGCAATAAATATTGGGGCTTCTTTGGCAGGGTTGATAAGGAAAAAGCCAAGTTCCAGCAGGAGGTTTACGAACTCTTGGCCCAACTTGAAAACTCCAATAAGGAGAAAACACTTGTTATCAAAACGGTAGAGAAGTTGGAGATTCATGTGTCTGAGTTGAATGTCAAGATCGAAGAGCTCAATCGCACTATTGTTGACATCACCAGTCACAAAACACGTCTCTCTCAGGAAAATATTGAACTTGTACGGGAAGTTCAAGATTTGAAGGTACGAAATATATTGTGATAAATATTCAAATAAAATCAATCTCAGTATAGTATAATGACATTTGTTGTATTAATTAGGTAAACATTGAAAGCGTTCACTACACCAAAACTCAGCTTGCCAGTCAACTCGAGGATGCCCGCCGTCGTCTTGAAGACGAGGATCGTCGCCGCTCTCTCATCGAAGCATCTCTTCACAGCGTTGAAACCGAGCTTGAATCCGTTCGCGTTCAATTGGAGGAGGAATCTGAGGCTCGCTTGGATCTCGAACGTCAATTGGTCAAGGCCAATGGCGAAGTCTCCATCTGGAGGTCCAAGTACGAGACTGAGGCCAATGCACGTGCTGAGGAAGTCGAGGAACTTCGACGCAAGTACTCTGCTCGCATTCAAGAACAGGAGGAACAGATTGAGACCCTCCTCGTTAAAATCAATAATCTTGAGAAGCAGAAATCTCGCCTTCAATCCGAAGTCGAAGTTCTCATTATCGATCTTGAGAAGGTACAAAGGCTTCTTCATCATCCATCAATCATTTATTTATATGAATGTATTTTGGGTGAGTTTAGGCAAATGGAACAGCTCGGGAGCTCCAGAAACGCGTTGAACATCTGGAAAAGGTCAATATCGAGCTTAAATCTCGCTTGGAGGAGACTGTTACCCTCTACGAGCAGAGTCAACGCGATCTGCGCAACAAGCAACAAGAACTTATGCGGTGCAATGCCGAACTCGAGAAGACCCGGGACTTGAAGGAACAGCTTGCACGTGAAAACAAAAAACTTGGAGGTTAATACATCGTTTTTACATGAGAAAAACAATGAATTTAATCAATTCTAATAAGTAATTTTGCATTATTCCCAACAGACGATTTGACTGACGCCAAGAATCAACTGTCCGACATGAACCGTAGGCTCCACGAGCTGGAACTCGAACTCCGTCGTTTGGAGAACGAACGCGAAGAGTTGGCTGCAGCCTACAAAGAAGCCGAGGCTGTAGGGACTTTAATCAATTTCACAATCAAATGTATACACCTGAGAAATTTATAATTTCTAAGGGGAAAAAAATTGCCTATTTCAGGGTCGCAAGGTCGAGGAACAGCGCGCTCAACGGCTCTCCGCCGAACTGAGCAACTTCCGTCACGAGGCCGAGCGTCGTCTTGCAGAAAAGGATGAGGAGATCGAGGCCATCCGGTAAGCATTCCTTTATTTTTCACCCGATAAGAATATCTTTTATTCCCATTTTACCATCATGAACAGTTTAAACATTTTGATTGTATGAGTGACGTTCAATTCAAATCAATGACACAAGCCGCTTTATTTTTATCCACATATATTGTGGTCCAACTCACATAAGACATGCTTCAATGATGAAATATATTTAACTACCACCGTTATCGTTATGAAAATTGGAATAAGAAGAAGGAAAAAATTGCATTATTCATGGAAAGAGGGAAAGTTTGCAAACGAGAAGAGAAGGAATCTAATCTCTGAAGAGCCAAGTGAAAATGGAACTCGTATAGTCAGACCGTAAGCGTCATGCGTCGATCACTCTTCACTACTCATCATTATTGGAAATCGATCGTCTGTCAGCATCGGCAATCTTCGAGAGTGATCGAGTGCATAATTTAGTACACTCGAACACTAAGAATATAAGTACTACAATGGAGAATGGAAGAATATCTTTTATTCCCATTTTACCATCATGAACAGTTTAAACAGTTTGATTGTATGAGTGACGCTCAATTCAAATCAATGACACAAGCCGCTTTATTTTTATCCACATATATTGTGGTCCAACTCACACAAGATATACTCCAATGATGAAATATATTTAAATACCACCGTTATTGTTATGAAAATTGGAATAAGAAGAAAGAAAAAATTGCATTATTCATGGAAAGAGGGAAAGTTTGCAAACGAGAAGAGAAGGAATCTAATCTCTGAAGAGCCAAGTGAAAATGGAACTCGTATAGTCAGACCGTAAACGTCATGCGTCGATCACTCTTCACTACTCATCATCATTGGAAATCGATCGTCTGTCAGCATCGGCAATCTTCGAGAGTGATCGAGTGCATAATTTAGTACACTCGAACACTAAGAATACAAGTACTACAATGGGTATCGATCCACATATTACCAGTGCTGATTGGCCGTCCTCGTTTTACAATCGTTTCAACCCCAATAAAAAAAACGTACAAATGATGCAGACGTTCAGTCGATCCTTCATTCATTCTGCCCGTCATCAGTGCCGAGTGTCTTCAATATTTCGGTCTCAATCGTCAAAGTTCCCCACATCAGTGATTTTTTACTTGACAATAATTAGAAATAATTTTTTTTCGTTTTTTTTTATACCTTTTCATATTTATTAAAAATGTCGGGAGATGTGCCACCCACTCAGATGCCTCTTGAATCCAAATGGAAACATGTTCCAACGACAGTTTATGAACAAAACTATGGATTTGGCATAAATTATTATCAACCAATGATCGATTATATCGATCAAAAGGAGAAGAAAATTGTGAAGAATCCTCAGTTACCGGAATTACCCTGGTCAGATGGACGATTTCTTTGGGAAAAGAAAAGAATTCTACCATACAGTAGTGAGGAACTAAGGAGGTATGCCTTTGGAGCTGAAGAACAAGCGAAGGAACATTTATCGCACTTTAAGGTAGGTTTTTCATGAATCATCAATTGGAACGATTTATTGACTGCACTTATAAATAATTAGCCCAAATGATCTCATGAATTTCAATCACTGATGCGGAAAATCAAAGTTAGAACGCAAAGAGGGAAAAATGAACGATGATTGGCGCGGGCAACTTGGCGACTAGCTGACCTTTTGTGCATCTAATTCGGTAGCTGAGTGTGGCTTCGAGGAGCCAGGCGCACTCGAATGCCCGTTTTCTTGTCGAGTACTGCAGTCCCAAGTCGCGTCTTGGATTTGTCGAATTTTCACTTTTCTAAAATCGATAAATAATAATTTTTTACACTATTTCTAAAGCATTGAATTGAATAAGTGAGAGTTGTGCAAAGAAGAATTGCAAAAATAATAATAGTATTGGCAAGTGAATTATTCCATCTTCGTCAGTAGAATAAATTCCTTTCCTATATTACGTTTGCCTTTAAAGATAGCAAAACGCTCGGACTTTAGCCTGAAGAAGGCAGTGGAAGCTACACACGTATCAAGAGACATTGACTCAGGAGTAGAAGCAGCTGTTAAAATACGAGAACAGACCATTCCCCTGGACGCAACAATGGCTGATCTCAGTGTTCAAGCAGTTAGAAATTTCCAAAGGATAAAACATGTGCAGGAGGCACTGGATCATGCAAAAAGCCTCAAAGGCAAGTCTGCTAAAGCCATTGAATATGAATTGAAGGCGGAGAGTATGAAGAATCTTTCCAATACAACCGAAATTTCGGATATCAGAAAATACCAAAGACAGACCATGCAGGCACTGTGGGATGAACGGGACCATATAAGAATGATGGAGGACAGATCTAGACTGCTCCAGGAAGAAGATGCCAAACTTACTCAACCTCTTGACGAGCTTCAGCATGATCTTAAGGCACTTGAGATCAAGTCGAGCACCTATTTCATTGATAAGAGGTAGTTTCATTACTATATTTTTCCATCAAGTGAAATTTGAACTATCATGATGGTAAAATTGTGACCAAACACCGCCTATCCTTCATTGACATTGATCTTTAAATAGTCGTTTTATTCATTAATCGTTTTGTTATTTTGACACCACTAGTAAGCAAACGAGCATCGAGATTGAGCAGCTCAACGCTCGCGTCGTTGAAGCCGAAACGAAACTCAAGACCGAGGTCCAGCGGATCAAAAAGAAGCTCCAGATTCAAATCACTGAATTGGAACTTTCCCTTGATGTTGCCAATAAAAACAACCTCGATCTGCAAAAGACCATCAAAAAGCAGTCGCTCACTTTGACCGTAAAGTCGCTTGAATTTTTATCATGTCTTTAATTGATTGACTTTTCTCATTTCCAATGAATATGTTCCATATTTAGGAACTTCAAGCTCACTACGACGAAGTTCAGCGTCAATTGCAGGTAACACTCGACCAATTGGGTATCAGCCAACGCCGTCTCCAATCTTTGACTGCCGAAATCGAAGAAGTCCGTGGCAACTACGAATCTGTGAGTAAAAGATTCTCCTTTCTTTTATCATTGTCTTTGTCAATAATAATTTTTAAACATGATGCTCGTCTTGTTGTTGTTGTTGTTCATCATCAGGCACTTCGGGCAAAGAGATGTGTCGAGCAGCAGTACGAAGAGTCGGTCAGTCGCATCAATGAACTGACAACGATCAATGTAAATCTTGCGTCGTCCAAGTCAAAGGTTGAGCAGGAACTTGCAGCTGTCGCTGGTGACTATGAGGAAGTTACCAAGGAGTTGAGAGTGAGTGACGAGAGATATCAGCGTGTCCAGACCGAGCTCAAGCACACCGTTGAGATCCTCCACGAGGAGCAGGAGCGTATTGTCAAGATCGAATCGATCAAAAAGTCACTTGAGATTGAAGTTAAGAACTTGTCTGTTCGTCTTGAGGAGGTTGAGGCCAATGCCATTGTCGGTGGAAAGCGTATCATCAGCAAACTTGAGGCTAGGGTAAGTAATAGATAGTAATATCTATTACTCTGTTATTGAATTAATATCAATATCTTGTCAACTCTTATTAGATTCGTGATTTGGAACTCGAACTTGATGAGGAGAAACGCAGACACGCGGAAACCGTCAAGATTCTCCGCAAGAAGGAGCGCAACATCAAGGAAGTGATGATCCAAGTTGAGGAGGATTCGAAATCAATCGCCCTCCTCCAAGAGACCCTCGATAAAGCATGTCAAAAAGTCAACATCTACAAGAGACAGGTACAGGAGCAAGAGGGTATGTCTCAGCAAAGTGTGACGAGAGTACGCAGATTCCAAAGAGAACTCGAAGCAGCTGAGGATCGCGCTGACACTGCTGAGAGCAATTTGTCTTTGATCCGTGCTAAACACCGCAGCTTTGTCACAACATCAACCGTCCCAGGATCCCAGGTATACCTTGTCCAGGAGACGAGGACTCAAGAAACACTTTAAAAACATTTATTGCCAAAATGTTCCTTGTAAAGTGCCTCATTATCATTTTATCATCATTTTTTCGTTTTTTTCTCTCTTTCTTTCTTTCTTTCTTTCTTTCTTTCATTTTGACCGAAAAATATAATGTCAACTTTTCTCCTCGTTACTTTTCTTATTTATTTTGTATCTAAGAGTAACGAGAGTACAAATGCAATAAGAGGCGCGATGTTGTCGATCATTAAATGAAAGGATGACAAAATAAATATCAAGAGGCAATTAAATGATGAATAATCATTTCGACTAATCACTCATTTTTCTGTTACATCGGACGAAAAAAATCGTTTGATTAAAAATTTTTTTTTTCATACTGAGAGGCAGTAGCGCGCATCAAACGATCCCCTCTGCGAATTTGTAAAAAACAAAATGAAACAAAAAAACTATTCTATTTTTATAAAAAATGAGAAAGTTACAGCGACATTTACCAAGACCGAATAATCCCAATTTGCGAAGACGCATAATAATAGATATTCTGTTGACAAATCCCAGGAGAAAATGAAAAAAAAAACACTCATCGTCTCACTCGAACATCGCCAATCCCTACCAAAAATTTACCATTTTAATCAAATTAAATTTTAATGAATATTATTATCGCATGTCTATTACACGTACAATAATATTGTATTTAATGAATAATTCTGTTACTACAAAATATAGTTAGGTACTATTGCCCAAAGTGAAATATTCAATTGAGTACATAAGAGCACTCACTGTACGAAAACACTTAACCTGTGTCATTTAATTTAATAATAAACTGAAAACGCGTACGTACGAAAAATATATACGTATATAATATTTTTCATCTGACCTTCGCTACAAATTTCCTTCCAAAAAAAAAAAAAACATTCAATCAATTAACCATCATAATAAATGAGGATTGATTGGTATGAAATAATGTCAATTTCCAAAGTAAATTTCTTTATTCGAGCATATGGCGTTTATTAGTAGGGTCCGCATGGGCTCACATATTGGACTAACTCATGAGCTCATCTTATCAACTAATTTGTTTGTTTGTTTTTTTTTTAATTAAATTTCATTTCCTGATGTTTGATAATATACATAATGTGAAAAAATGAACTTCAAGCAATTTCATACAATTTGTCGAGCTCGAAAAAGAAATCAACCGCTAGTTACGTCTCCAATTAACGTTATCTTTTCCATCACGTTCTTCATCATGTTGAAGTCATTTACAGGATCAATTATAGTATCAGACTATGATAGTAGATTAGTGAATGTATTTGTTTCGCATCGGGCATGATCAGTGTCAGTCACAGGTATGTATTCACTCATGAAACTATTCCTAAATATTTCCTTTGAATCTTTTATAATGTTAAATATTGATCCTGTGATTAAATTGATTTTTCTAATGAACGATAATAAACTTGGACAAAACTAATCAACTTTATGTTTCTGTCTCTTTTGAACTTTAAAAAATTGAATAACCGTTCCATTTGATGGAAATGATAAAATATACATGAAAGGTAATTTAATCACAGAATTAGAACATAATTATTGCAAAGGGACTATTGAATACTGCATTCACAAAGAGCATTGGAAATTACGGTAACTGCAGGATTATTCGTCGCCTGTTCACCCAAATACCCGACCCTGACTAATACTCACTTCAATTGCGCAACAGGGTCGATTTATTCTCATGATTAATTCATTTTCATTTAATTTTAATCTCTCATCAAAAATTGTACCATTTTTTTATTCCAATATTTCATTATTAGTTTTTTTTTCTTCAGTGCAACATGGTTAAAATATGATATATATGCGCAATCTAAGGCTCACTATGGCTTTGTGGGTGATTTCATAAATCTCTCTCAAGTTTATTTCATTCATTATCCATTTGCCAAACCATTCTTGTCAGCGGCGATCCTCCATAACGCAATAATTTGGGCAAGGAGAGAAAAAAAAGAGCGATAGTGTTATTCATAGCTTTCATCATTCTTTGTTTTTTTTCTTTTTGTCTCGAAAACTTTACAATAAAATGATAAGAAAAACAATACCACCCTTCACACATTTGTTCTGTGCTGTCTCCCCTTCTTTTTCTCGTATATTCTTCATATGAAAATTACAAGTGCTCATTTAGTTGAATTTGCGATAAATTCGAGAGTATCATTTACACCATTATTTACAGGGTATTATACACGAGGAGAGTTTCAGCTAATATATTAATAGTAGTCTTTAAATGATATTGACTGGTAAATCATTTGAGGTGGATAGTTAGTCAGATTGGTAATAAACATTTTTTTCCCTATTACTGGAATTGTAAAAAATTCCATTACCAATATTATAACTCAATAACAATCGTTGAGCTTCGAGAGAATTTCTACGGAATGTATACTTCTCTATCTCGATCTCAAATTGTCGGAGGAAGAAGGATTTCAAATAACTACGGAAGAGTTGCCACTGCAGTGCTTTCATTTTTTTAACCGGTGAGACGATTCGAAACAAGTTTTCATCATTCAATAAAGTCAATATTCCTAATAACAAATATAAACAGACATGAAAAGAAAAAAATTGTATAATAGGTTGAAATTGAAAAATGGAGGAATTTTTGTTCTTCCCCAAATTGTCAATGTACCTTGAAAAAACTGTCTTTCCAAAAATTCTCTCCAATAAGTTTCGAATCGTCACAACGGAAGAGCAAGAGTATAATATACAACACATAAAAATATAATATATTTATATATATCTATAAAAAATAATAATAATAATAAAAATAAAACAAAGAATTCTTACTCTGACGCGCACTACAAAAACCGCTTATAAAGGCATTATTTTGAATAATAATAAATCATTCACGAACATGTTGATTGATAATTTATCCGTGTTTTTAGCTACTAAACCCGAATGCGAAGCGACTTAATAAAACAACTAGACGCAGAATAATCGCCTTATCGGTACTTGCAATTAATTCATTATTTTTATATACTATTATAATAATCATCAATTATATTATTCTTATATTAGTATCAATCGTTGACACATGCAACGGTATACATTTTGTACAGTTGGGTCATTGTAACGGAGCAAGGTATTGTTTTTTTTTGTTCTTTGCTTTTTTTCTTGCACATTCACAAGTTAAGAAACTACAATTGATAATTGGCAGTTTGGCTGTTCGTCAGATATAGAGTTAGACTGTTCGATCATTCTAGGCCCAGCTGGCTTACGACCATTGATACTTATTATTTAATCCATTAATATTAATTTCTGGAGATTGCAGAGCAGGAAGCTCGAAAGAAACTACCTATTCTCATTTTCAACTTTTTCAATGAACAAAAATGGGTAGAGAATATCTTGGACTGATATATTTTGCATTAAAAGTCTTTTATCACTTTTATTCACTGTCTGGATTGATTCATTTATTGGCACAAATGTTGTACTAGTGGTATAACTGTAGGAGGTTCGTGTGTTACTTGGTTTTCATACCAGAATTATTCGAGTGAAAATTAATGATCTTCAATTACGTATATAAAATTAACCTACGTGTAATGGGAATGTATGGGGTGGAGCGAACAAACGTTTATTGCTTTATTGATTATTGGTAGCGTAGTGAAAAAATTGTCACTGTTCATTGGGTTACCCATATACTTTTTTTTTCAAGGGTCACAAAAATGAATGACTCGTACTAAACACTATATCGTTTGTTGTCTCAATGAAAAATTAGACAATTGCGAGTTAATTGTCTGATTTATTCGATAAGAAAAGAAAAAGTTTATCTACTATGAATATTATCTTCAGTCTTTGAGTGAATTGCAATCCATGAAGTACATCCCATGGATTGTAAAAAGAGATATATTTGCATTTCATTCTATCCTTCTTCTTCTTCTTCTTCTTTTTCTTCTTTAAATAAAAACCTAAGTCAGCTGGGCCTGTATCAGGTGTGAGTATACAATTAATAACGGAAAAATAAACGATTCTCCTCGTTCAATGAAAAATATAAAAATACGATCTTCAGCTGTTTGAAAATTATCAAAGAAAAGTTTCTTCAATCTTCCAGTTATGATCAGTCTCGTTTTGTTGACGGTCAAATAGCTGCTATCATTTACTATTACCATTTTCAATCGCACCATTCATCCACATTTTCACACTGAGAAAGCTAATTGATTACCTTCACCATTATAATCACACCATTATAAATAAAACTCCGAAAATAGTATTTTATCAATTTTTCTTTTCAACCAAGCTTTCATGTCCAATTTTTACTCATTTCTCTGCAGTCTGACGTAACATAGCGCCCTTCAACGTCAGCCTTCTCGTGATTCAAAGGAATTATTAATCATCCTTTTTTCAATCATCGCGAATATTTATGACAATCTGATTGTTGTGGTTGTTTTGTTTTCAATCCACTGTGGGTTAAAAAAATTCATTCATTTCAATTCATTTGGTAATTACCAGGCATCCCTTCTCAATTTAAAACTGATATTTGAGCAAACACATTCGACTTTACCTACTCTAAGGGGAAAAAAGCTATCATCAGCAACTCTTTGTTTCTTAGTCTGACTAGGAAATTGGATAGAGTGTGGCAAAGATTTGATACAATAACGAATAGAGCTGCTTTCGATCCTCAATATGAAAAAAAAAATCTTTTATTTCTCTCGTTTCAATATCAAACGGTGATTGTGTAAAAAGACAATGAGTTTCTTGATACCAAGTGAAAATTCCTTTACACATCAACAAACTCAATGTATAATGTACGAAAATAATTTTTAGGTGATAAAAAATTAGATTAAAAAAAATCAAGTATAGTAAATATAGTAAATTTTCATTGTAAAATAATGAATTGAAAAAACAGGAAACTCAACCCACCACTTTTGCATTTGTAATCAATCACATACATTCGCACAATTTCATCATTCGAAACAATAATCTCAACATCGAGATGATTTAATCGATGACACCGGAAGATTAAGGAAAGATTGTCATTAGACAATCATGGATTCTTTCTCGTGTATTAATTATTACGTTAGTTTGTATGTTTCATTTGAGGTCTGCCATAGACCCATAGTTGGCGAGTGATTTTTTAATCCTGAGAGCTGTGAGTCTTGCTGCTGCATTGTGATACCAACATTCCTTCATAACTTTGGACATAACTTGAAGTGCCTAAGGGAAATCAGGGATAATTATATTAATTGTAGTGAAAGGATATTATTATTTAGTTAGCTTCTGAGAGAGGGAGAGAGAAGATTAACCTCAATAGACTGCCATCTATTTGGTATCGATGGCCTCTGTCGATCTGTACAGACGACTTTTCGCATTTCCTCGATCGTGGGATCCGAAGGCACAAGATCGTAAAACGGAAGCTGATAATCATCGTGAATACCACCAACGTTACATCGCCTTGCAATTTCCCACAGAATTAAGCCTAGTGCATATACGTCTGCTCTTTTGAATGAATCAAAGTGATTCATGTTAATTGCTTCCTCCAAAACCTGGAGACAAAAATTGTTCAATTGATGATAAATTTAATGAATAAGTAATGATTATTATTACCTCAGGAGCCATGTATCGTTTAGTGCCAACTCTGTTATTCAGCTGTATATCAACAGTATCTGTAATAACATCATGTCTCACAGCAAGACCTAAATCACCAATGGCACAAGTGCCATTAGTCTTAACGAGAATATTTTTAGATTTGAGATCCCTATGCGCGATCGCTGGTTTGCCCTGAGTACCAACGATCTCCATGTGAAGATGAGCAAGACCAGTTGCCATAGAGAGGGCCATTCTCATCATTCCATTAACATCAACTGTTGTACGATTTAAAAAATCAAACAACGATCCTTTCTCGTGGTAATCTGTGATAAGCCACAACTGCGTCCACGTGCCGTTATCTGTATAACAAAGTTAAAAATATACAAGTTATTTTTCGTTTGTCTCTTCATTGTCGACGATACATCTTTTAATAACGATACATTATTATGAGAAAATATTGTACCTTTATTGTCGGCAGCAATAAATCCAAGGATATTGTCATGCCTCAGCATAACAGTCTGATAAATTTCAGCCTCTCTGAACCACGATCTTTCCTCCCTCGAGCTGAATATTTTAACAGCAACATTTTCCCCACGCCAGCGACCACGCCAGACCTCGCCGAAACGACCCTTACCGATCGTCTCAACGAGTTGTATCTGACGTGCTATACTTCGCTGCACCAGGAGTGGTAGCCCTACTTCAAAGTTGAAACAAACATTTTATTTTGCTATTTTATCCATGTGGCATTCAAATGTAATGAAGTAATTACCTGAACCACTACCACTCGTTGTCATCTCCAGCATATCCCTGATTGTGACTCCACCTAAAATCGGCCTGTCTGGTGCTTCCATCGAGTCATCAGGAAAATGCCTGGCAGGTCTTCGACGGCTCATGTGTACGTGATACACGGCCATCACAATTATACATACAGCGCAGATCGGCAGAGCTATCGATAGAGCCATTCTCCATGTTACCCATGTTGTAACACCTCCAGCCGCTGTTACTTTTCATAGACAATGGCAGTTAATTTTTGAAAAATTGTTCAATATGTGCTCGCCCAAAAATTATGATATTTCATATGAATCAATGGCAAGAGAAATAGCAATTACACTATTGAAATTCAAGTTGAATGTATGAAGAAGAATACTTCCATAGAATAAAAAATAAACTCTATCCATTGGAAATTTTCTTAGCTTTCCAATAATTCATTCTCTATAAAATCTCATATTGCGACTATTTGATATCTATTCTCTGGATATTTTCGTTGATTAAAATGAAATATCTCCAAAGTCTATGTTTACGATTTCCCTTTGAATTTGAAAAAAGCGCACAAGTACATGCAGAAAGCGGTGTATAGAATGAAAACGATAAACACAGTGCAAAGCAGAAGAAGAAAATCAAGTTGAAAACGAGGTTTCAGGATTGAGGGATGTAATGGTTCACTTATCATTTATTTTTTTCCGCTGTCTCTGAAATCATTACGATTCTCCTTTCATCTTCCCTGCTTCACAATTCGCTTCGTAATTCAAACAAGTATGAATTTCCCTTATTTTTTTATAACACCAACAACGACGATACTGTTAATTGGTTGAAATCCAGTGGGACTATATAACACAAGTGCTAAAGTCCTTCCAAAACGTGACTGGGTTTTGAATTTGAGCGGGTTGGGTGGTTAGTCGCATAAGTGGTATGGAAATTCGATAACGCGTTGGCAAAGTGGGACTGTGGCCACCTGCCAATAAGATTGATTGACTTTGACTAAGATTTTCGTCCAGTTATTACCAACTCATTTAATTAATATACTTTTTTTTTCAATCATGCATTTCTCATTTTGTCCTATTTCTCTGGTTGTTCAGGTGCATATTTGATGAATTCACATATTTCCCAGACGATCTTTGGATAAGCATACAAATGAACTTGTTGAGAAGCGTACCTCAAGAGGATGAATGCGGCGACATTGGGAATGACATGAAGTCGAACGATTTTTAATTGATTACATGAGCTCTAGAACAAAACCCATTGCGAGAGAGAGAGAGATATATATATATATATATTCTTCTCAATATGTTTTTTGCAACATTTCCCTTGATGAAAAAAAATGAATCCAACCTTTCTATTTGAATACCAAATGAAACACAAATCATGAGAATCCCACAGATGATCAACGTCCCACCACAAAGTAATCAAATGGAATATATATTCGCAAGTGCCTCGCTGACAATTGATGTTATTTGAAAATTCTAATTATGATGATTCTGCTAGACGGGCAATGAACCATAAATTGGCCATTTTCTCAATACACTTTTTTTTCTTCTGATTTGATACAGCGACATTGTCGAGGCAGTGATAATTTCAAGATTGAGCTCGTTCACTTTAGCTAGAATTGAGTAATTTCCGGCGCGTGCAGGCCGTAATCGTTTGTAAGTTGTTGATTGATGCTGTTGCTGGTGCTGCTGCTGCACGAGCTAAGTATCAACTCGTAAAAACAAATTAACGATGCTTGTCGCTGTTAATTTGTATTTTCTGCAACGTTCCCATTTATGACATAACATGAAGAACTTTTCTTCATTCAAACAAGCAAAACATGCAGTTGAAGAAAATTAGCAATTTTTACAGATAATTTCCTCTTTTATTAAATTTGATTTTCCTTTTAATTTCTTTGTCAGCTTGGCCCCACATGTGGATAATAATAAAATTGACAGGAATGAATTGGCTCAGACTATTTTAGATGAGAAAAAAAAGCCCAGACGAGTGACAAAAGCCACATCATCGATATATTTATTGATTCGAGTATGACTTTATGTTGATGAAGTAAAAATAATAATAATAATAATAATAATAATGATAGTAATATCTCTGTTTAATTCGGAGGCGATGATTTGTACCTCTTTCGAATCTGTGCAGACCGCGAGAGGAATCACCAGTTATTTGAGACGGAAAGGAAAGCTCGAGATCACGGTTGCAGTAATCGACGTCATCGCAGCAGGCAACGACAAATTCAATTCCACCAGGACTATGAAGTGTCCCATTTGAATCACACCAAACGGCGTACCCAGATACGGGGAAGAACTGGGGCTTATTATAACACCTGAGAACATTTTCATCATATTTGTTGTCTTCTCCACTTCATTCCCATAATTACATGCTTCAACATCTAATCTTTCGCAAAATATTTTTCCTCAATTTTCTTTTTTCTTGGTTAAAACTATTTGTCATTATAGAGATCAGGTTATGGATTAAATGCCACTACTGAAAATAAATAAAAATTAGTGCCACTGAAGCATAAGTCCTGTAGAATAATACAGTCATTGTTGTTTATCATGCCAAGATCTTTTTTTAGAAGAGTACCTACACCTTAATGTCCACCTCAAAGGCTTTTTGTAATGTTTAACATGTTAAAGTGTATGGAAATTTTTATCCAGATAGACATATGATTTGTCCATCATTTCTATTTCTATTTCCCAATGCGCTATTTTATGTAGTCAGTTGAAACACTTTTTTACAACTGATGGAATTCTGAAGAGAAAAAAAAATCTTTGTGCACGCATCAGTTGAAGTGACAAGCTGTTTTGAGATTTTTTGTTTTTCAATTTGTCTCCCGAGATTTGCAACGTGAGATGTACAGCAAATAATATAAATATAATAATCGCATCAGCAGAGGGAGGAAAGGATAAACTATGTGCTATGTACAAAGGCGCCACAGGGAGCTAAAAAATGTGAGGTTTCTCAATGGCTATCGCGAGTGTCGGAAATTATAATTTTTCAGCATTTTTTTGAGATGTGTGGTTGGGTAAATAATAGTGCAAGAAAATCAGAGACAAGTGAGTGAAAAAAAATTAATAGAGAGAAAAGAAAATACCAACAGGTGCTATCGAAAGAACTAATCAATTCTAAGAATTAATAGTTTATATTTTTGTTCCTATGGTTGTTGAATTAATTGTTCATTTAGATTTTTTGTTTTTTAAAGATCCCAGGGCTTTGTGGACTGTACCTTCTGTGGTTCTTGGATGGAGCTGGGGTCTTAGATCACGATTACAAAAATCCTCTTTGTGGCAGCAATCGATGACAAATGATGTGTTTATCAAATTGCTCGTCATGCAGAAGATGAGTGGTTCTGGCTGCGACGACGACAGCTGTTTGTGCACGCACCTTCAAGCCCATATTCATTTCTTTTTATATATTAGGGGGAATTATGGGGAATTCCCTCTTCATTACTCTCTTTCATCATCAGACGTTCCAGTATATTATGAATTTTATCGATCTTAATAGTCTGGGACTAGCAATAGGTAGTGAGTGAGATAACTGAAAAATCTTCGTAACCCTTTTTTTCTCTCTTGAGTAATCTAGCTATTCCGGGTTTTCATAAATAAACAAAAATTAAAGTGAGGAGAAAATTGTATTGTTAGAAGGAAAATGCCATTGTTAAATGCAAAAAAAATCACAAAAATATGAATCAAGTTTCAATAAAAATCACAAAAGTAAAATCAGAAAATCAAAACTTAATTCGAAAATGATAGAATTCATGAAATGAGTGCTGTTAATTCGTACGAATGAAAAATGGCAAATATTCGATTTATTATTTAACTTACGTGGGATAATTAATAATTGTTAGTCGATTGATTTTGTACTGGTGTAAAATAAAGGAACTCGTTATTGATCGATAAAAAAAGTCAAAAGTCACACAAAAAAATGGGCTAATCCGGCAAAAAGAAACCCGTTTGTACCTTTGGGTAATTCGGTTGTATTGGGAGACAGTAAAACCGGATATGATTTGAAGTTGCAGTAGTCTATTGTGCAGCAGAACCCGGATTGATTGAAGTCCTGTTTACAGGCAAGTGGATCGCCCGGTGGGAACCACTTTGATCGGTCGAGACACCTTTTTATAATATATACTTTGTTACAATGGTAGAAATATTTAAAACTCAATTAATCAAAGTGAAAATACTCCCATTTCAATAAACAAAATGATGATAATAATCATTTCAGCGGTCTATATGAATCAACGATTCTGGCGACCGAATAACCCGAATATAATCCGTCTGGCGGAGTTAATGATTCAAGAATTTTCAAGGAGAGTGCGGCGCTAACTCTCCACCACTAGTAATGACGAGGTCGATCCAATTCCCCCGTCGTTGGCGACAAATTTATTCAAAGCCCAAAAAACCACTAATCCCGACACGAGTGCGATCCGATAGTGGCGTCGGGCCAATTTTCACTAAATTATTTTTCAACATTTTATTAGCGACTGGTATGGAGGCATACTTCGGTGGTCTATCAATTTAATTAATCAATTTCCTCATAAAGGAGTTGATTAATTAACGTCAATTTCGTTATTTCATCATCCATTTTGAGTTGTATTACCATCGCCGTTGCCACAGTGATGAAGAAAGAACCCACATGGCCCACATGTCCAACAAATATTAATTCCTAGTAGGAAAGTATAAGGATGAAAAGAGGATGTCAAAAAGATAAATGTCCCTGACGACAATAACAGAAATTGCAAGTTTCAATTTTTTTTTGGCAAAGTTAACGCCGCAATCGATAGTGACGTACTACATACGTAGAGCTAGCCTCATATTTTCCCCTCTCCCACACTCCCACTACTGATTTTTTTGGCCCACCCCTTTGTCCCTTTCCATTTCGTTGGCAAAAACCGGTCGATCCCACGCGCCCGCTTCCTGGCAATTATTTTTTTTCCTCCCTCCTTTGGCCCGCTCATTTGAAAGAGCATTTCAATTAGACCCTAGGCCTATTCCCCGGATAATCCTCAACGAGATACGCAATGCCATGTTTTTCTCCCCAATTATTTGAAGAATGAAAGCCCCAAGTTGTTTTATTCTCTCTTTTCCCCGATATTTTTATCCATCAATTTTTACACTCAATTTCTCCTATTCATTGAATGAATTCATTCTTCTAAATATCCCGATGCTTCAATTCATAATTAGTAAAATTATTATCCTGCATTACCTGTATGCATGAGTGATCTCTCCGCGATCGAGGGTCGTACTGGCGAAACAGTAGCCATCCGTTTCGCATGTGTGATTCGTATCCGCACAAATGTCGCAGTGGCATTTCAGTCCTGAAAACATATGAAAAATTTCATGATTGACCCCCGATGCTCATATGTATGTAGGATATGTATTACACCAAATCCTGTCTTTTATCATTTCATTTTTCAAATGCCGATAATAGAACATTCAATTTCCATAAAATCTAGGGAGCCAAGCAAAAAAAAATGTCACAAATCTGTTTAAATTGAGACAGAAAAATCATAAAAAAAGGGGCGGGAAAATTCTTGCACCATCGTGTGTGGTGTCAGTACACTCTTTTTATCTCCTTGGTATGTTTCAAGATATATCCATTTTGTCAGCAAAGGGGTAATGCAATACATCCTCCTCATTTTGCTCTACACACGCAAAATAAGAGATAGAGTATTATGTGACAGACTACTTCACATTATGGTTTTATCAATTTTTCTTTTTCTTGTTTTTGGGAGAAAAAAATTGATAAATTCAATGGAGTAGGTGGAAGAAGGTGTTGGTGGTGTAAAAATGACAGGTCATGGACTTGCGGTGGCCTTCGCCTCGCGTTAGTATCTCATCCTGCTCCTTCGCTTTCAAGATGAAAAACGTGTCCAGTGTCCACTTGATTCAATCAAGTACTTCCACTCAGGATGATCATTCATCGATGAATAATCCGTGTAAAAATACAATTTTCCGAGTAACAATGAGAAATTTTGTTTTGCATTATTAACCATGTTTCAAGGTTTCAGATTTCAATTGAATGGTAAGAGGTGTGAGATGCTCCATATTTTCAGTCATTTGTATGCATAACTAATCTACATATGTTGGCAAAAAATGCATTCAAATCATCATAAAAACGTGTGTCAACAAAAAAAATGTTCAAGAAATACGGCATGAGCGCAATAATAAATTTCCTTTTTAAGTTCATTTGCGTAAAGAAGAAAAAAATCATCGGATGGTGATTAAGTCAATTTATCATATTCAACGGTGTGCTAGGTTGATTAAATGAAAAAACAAAATGCATCTGTTTTGTTACTCTTATCACTGGCACTCGAGATACGTGTGTAGTAATAGCGCCTGGGTATTCGGTGCCAGTTCGGATTCGTAAAATTCTATATGATTATCATTCCATTATTTGAAGTACTTTGTTACGCAATTTACAAATGATAACCCTTACGTAGTGTAATCGCCTACCGATGAATAGTCTTTAACAATGATAAATTCATAAATACATAAATGTATTTATACCACTTATTTTACTATACCACTTATCTTTTACTTGTTTTTGCCAATGAGTGGACGGGAAAAAATGGATACCTCTGGATTTTCTCCAAGGATCATTATAATCAATTTATTTTCCTAGAGTATTGCGGAAGGATGACAAACAGCTCATTTTTTCCCGAAAACATGTCATAATTTCCACCCAAGATGATATTTTTTCAGCTCTTATTTGCTTGCGGCTAGCATGCATATAAATTCAGAAAGAGGAGAGAGAAAAAAAAACAAGACACATTCATTCTTTATGTAAACATTGCTAGTGAAACTAGGCGCTATGCTGATTGAGTTGAGCGATAATAAATTTTGCTGACCATCATCTCAACTCTGGGGAATTGAAGCATGAAGACTTGTGATAAATACATCGTATTGATCTGCTTCGGATAAGTGATTTTTTTTTAATCTTCATTATTATATCCGTATTTTTCCTCACTACAGATAGAAGAAAACACGTGGCTCTGAGTTACTCTATTGAAACTGTATTCTTTCCTCGGTAGTATAAATAGATTCTTGATCAATAAAAAATAATGTGAAGTGAAGAAAGTTGCAGAGAATTAAAAAAATTTATTAGCTAAGTGCCTCCTCCAAGTGAGAAATATCTCTGGCAATTCAGCGAACCTTTCATCCATCAATTTCTTGCATACCTCTCCTAATTCTCGGAAGAATTCCTCTCAAACAAAAGGAGATAAATAACAACAAATACTCACCATCAACAATCGACGAGGAATGAGTGAAGAGAAGCACCACGAGGGCATAGACGCTCATCATGCTCGGGACGAGATTTCTCCTCATCTTCCTCGTTTTCTTGGAGCCGAGCAAATTGATAAATTTCTCCAAAAAGTTGTCAAGATCAGCAAGTGCGTCATGGACAGGCACGCAATATCATCATTGTTGTAGCTTTTTTTTTCTTTTTTTGTCGTTCCAGTTAGTCACACAAATAATATAATCTCATCTTCATTCAACTTATGTGAGCGCCTCAAAAGCTCAACGAAAACAAAACATGACGATATTTGATGCGTAAAAACACATGAATAATAGGTTTTTAAAATTAATGAAAAATAACTCAGCACTTGTCACTGATAACTGAAGAACATTGTTTCACATCTCGAGGTTTCTTGGCCTTCGGTCGACGACCGATAGCCCCCAATGCTTGACAACAGTTCACCTAACCCTTCACTTCAACTTATTCAAGCCCTGAATCACCAGGAGAATTGTTTACTTCTTTAATCCTATGAAATTATTTTGTGTCAAGTATTTAATCACAAATAATTGATGAATAACAACAACACTTTTCTGTCTCTGTCAATTCGCTCAACTGTTGGCTCCACGGCCATTTTCTATAGTTGATAGGTGCAGCCTAGAGACAAAATAAGAGTCACGGAATTTGATGGATTCACGTCAAATTAGTTTCACCATTTATTTCCGGAGTAGCATTGATGTATGCCATTTCCTTTTGGTTTTCAATATTTATATTAGGTCACTGTCACTTTAAACGTGTTTGTTGTTATTGTTTGAGAGGAATGACTCCCGACCTGGGACTTGATCATCGATGTGAGTGAGAGAGCAGAGCACACGGTTATACCTGCTGCTCCGACTGCCGATTGGCAATGATCGTCAGAGCCGCCATGACACACGGTATCAGGTGCCCCCTCGCCCTCATCAGGCCGCTCAGAACCCAGTTGGCCATGAAGTGGCACCCTTTGCTAGAGGGAAGGAAGTGTTGTAGAAAATATTCTTCGTTCCTGCTCGTTGTTCCAACTTGGAATACTCGAATAAAATGGCGCTGACAGCGTTTCTTCACTCTGTTTTATCGACATTTTCTGTTTTTTTGTTTTTCATTGAAAATTTTCATTGTTGCTCATTTTATTTTGAATGACTTTCTCTTTCTTGCAATAATGTCAATGTGAAACAAACACACACTGCAATTGAGAGGTTAATTATTTTGAAGAAAAAACATCTTTTGAGATATATTTTTAACTGCATTTAACACGAAAGATAAACAGTAATTATTTTGATAACAAAGGGAGAGAAAAGACGACACTTTTGTTTTCATGGAGAGAAAAAACACGGCGCTAGCGATGCATACCAGCCTTTACACCGGAGCTCGTTGAACGTGTGTGCAACAAGGGAAAGTGTATTACAAGTGTATGTGTGTTGCATGCGTGCAAGTATGCAGTGCGCAGTCGCGCAGTAGCACAGTGGCAGTGGCGTCGTGAAGTACCTTTGAAGAGAGCGTCAAGTTATTCCATTGAGGGAAAAATGATAGGTGATTTATTTATTTGCGAAATAAGTCCGTACATTGACTCCAACTTTTATTTGTTTTGAGAATTGAAAGTTTTTAAGTTGCGAAAGAAAATATTCTCCAAGGGGTGGATCACTATTGACTGTGTGCTTCGAGTGGCTCAGCCATTACACAAAGGTGGATTCCTTGGGATTAAAACACGGATCTACGGTACAAAAATGGTGCATCTTTGATTTTTATCAAAGTTTATTGTCGAAAAAACAAACAAGCAACATAGGAAAATGGCGACCGCTGAGGTCGATAATTTCCTGGCGGGGCCTCTTGTTACTTGGGTATGTGACTTACCCCCATAGATCAATCGACAAAAATCCTTAATTAGCTATTTTCTCTCATTTAAAAAATATTGTAATTACAGTTTGTCAGCTGCTTGGAGGACCCCGATATTTTATCCAACTATAATGACTTGGTGGATGGGGTGCTTATTCACAACGTCTTCCTTCAGATTGATCCAGAACCTCTGAATGATGGAGTTATCTCTAGCTGTGGTAACACTTCTATTCGTATAAAAAATCTCGAAATGATAGTGGGGAACATGAAGCAATTTTACGAGGAAGAATTAGGCCACTTGATAATAAAACATCCAGATACAACGAATTTGGGAAAAGAGCCAGAAGTTCACATACAGGATATGGAGTTACTTCTGCTACTCCTCCTAGGTTGTGCTGTACAATGCCCCAACAAGAAAAACTTTATAACAAGGATAAAAACTCTCCCTTTAGACACCCAACTTGCTATAGTAGAGTGCATAAAGCAAGTTACGGATTATCACGACATAGTAATAACTCAAGACTCAATGGAGAATGCAAATATGTCAGGTGTCTTTAAAGAGATTAAAAAACTGATACACGAGAGGGATTTGTATCGTGAGAAATGGCGTGTTGCTGCTATAAATGATTCAACATGCCCAAATGATTCTCCAGAAGGTAACAATGAGGGAATCATTAAATCCCAGCAGTTGAATTCAATAGCAAAGAAATCAGCTCGTGAAGAACATCATCATTATGCTGTTGAATTGGCTGATTGGAAATCCAAAGTTAGAAAACAGCGTCAAGAATTGGAAGAGAAAACAGAAGCCCTTCTCGAATGTAAAGAGGAATTGGAGCACAATAGACAATCTCTGGCTAAACTGAAACAAGAGAATCAAGAACTAATGCATGAGGCAAGGACAGCTAAATCTTACAGAGATGAACTGGATGCAGTGATGGAGAGGGCTGAGCGTGCAGATCGTTTAGAATCGGAGGTGGCTCGTTATCGGGAAAAATTGACAGACATTGAATTTTACAAAACGCGAATCGAAGAACTACGCGAGGATAACCGAGTTCTCATGGAAAATCGTGAAATGTTGGAGGAACAATTGAGTTTATCCCGACGAAGAGCTGACAAGGTTCTTGAATTAGAAGCACAAATAATAGAGTACAAACAAGTGTTGAACGATATGGCACTCGAGCGAGCTGCTGACAAAGAAAAATATCAGGAATTGTACGATGAGAATTTGCAGCTACATAAATTAAAAAAAGCTGCTGACGATGAAGTAGCTCGTGCTGGCTCCGTCAGTGAATCTGATGAGCCAGTGACATCTGATAATCGATTATCTGAGCAATTAACTAACAATGCACAGACAAGAGCACTGAAACTTGAACTTGAGAATCGTCGCTTGATGGCCCTTGTCGATTCACTGAAAGAAAATTCCTTTCACGAATCATCAGGCCGTCTTCTTGAGTTGGAGAAAGAAAAAAAGAAAATGTCATTAAAGATGGACTCATTGACTGATAATAACGACAGATTGAGCCAACAGAATGCTGACCTAGAGCTCGTTTGCAAGCAGGCACTGGAGGAGAATAAAAAACTTGAGAATACATTAAAAAATCAGAGGACATCTTTTGAAAGACAGCAACAAGATTATCAAGCCCAGCATTCTAAGATCATTGAACTCGAAAAGAACTATGAAACGGCGATTAAAGAGAAGCAGAGAGTTCAATCCTTACTTGAAAGTGTACAGAGGCGTGCTGATGAGTTGGATCGTTCCCTGGAAATTTCAAATCAAAAGCTCGAAGACTTGAGACTCATGGAAAATAAACTCAAAGAGGCAGAAACAAAATGCACTGATGTTGAAATTAAAATAGTCACATTGGAGAAGGACAAGGAGACTGCACTGCGTGATGTGCACAAGTGTCGTGAGCTCATTGAGGAGAAAGACGTGGCTCTGGATAAAGCAACAAATGATATCGAAGTAATGAGAAAAAAAATCGACATACTGGAGAGAGAAGTCGACAAGTCAATTTCACAAATTACAAGACTCCAAGAGATCGAACGATCTTCAAAAGAGTTGGATTCGAGGGCAGCTATTGATAAAGAAACAATGGAGACTTTAAAATCAAATTTAATTGCTGAAAAATTGAATACTCAACAGCTTCAAACAGCTTTGGAGAAGCTTGGATTGACTGTTGACTCTTTATTGACCCTGTCATCGGAAAATCTAGTGGAAAGGTTGATTAATGTACCTGAAATGTCACAATACATAAATAAATTGATTTGTGAAAAAATTGAACATGAGCACAAGAGTTTAGAAATAGCACCACAATTTAAAGATACCGAGTCAGAGAAAGATGTACCACTTAATAAACACCTTCAGGAGACGATTGAAACATTGAAGAGAGAATTGGAGAGTTCACAGGTGAAATTTAATACTAGTCAAATAGCTGGTGAAAATCTACTGGAGGAACAGGCTAAATTGCAAGTTTGTGTTACGACTCTTCAATCAAAGATAACGTCATTAAATGCACAGCATACAGCTTTACAGCTGGCCAATTCACAATTGGTCGCTGAGAAAGAGCAACTTTTGAAAGAACGTGATGTGCAACAACGTGCTCATCAGCAATTGTTGCATGATCAGGTGACGCTACAATCATTGCATGAGCAACTCAATAATGAGTATGAAAATCTTCTTCAGGAGCGAGAAACACTCAAAGCTAGTTTGAGGGATACCAAGAATCATTTCAGAACGTTGAGGGAAAATTTTGAATTACTCGAAGAGAAGAATAAACAATTTGTGGCCGAGCAGGAAGCTTCCCTTTGTAATACTAAGAGTTTGAATAATCTCCGAGGTGAGCATTCAAAGTTGAAGGATGACTTTAGAAATTTATATACTGCCACTGAGAAGCTGAAAGCTGAATACAGAAATCTCCAGGAGGACTACAGGAAGAATAAAGTTGAGGCAAATCGATTAAGCCTCAAACTCACTGAATTACAAGGAGAAATGAGTATAAAAGAAGAGAGATGCTCTAATTTGGAGCTACAGACGAGTAAATTGAATCAACGTTGTGAAATGCTTCTACAAATGAATTCTGGACTTGATAATAATAGAAGATCTCTTATGGATCATGTCAGTGTTCTCTTGAATCAGTATCACGATCTACTGAGTCACTCTTTGGAGGACAAGGAGCATTATCACATGGAGGAGAAATTATATCGTGATCAGGTGAATCATTTGTCGAGGCAGAAGGAGAAATTGGAGGAGAAAATTATGGAGTACTACAGAAATAAACAGAGTTGTTCAACAAAAAAGTAAGTATAAAACTCGAGTCTATTTATTACCTCTATGGAATAATTATAAAATTACATTGTATCATTACAGAAAACGATTTGGAGCAAGCCTAGTAAAACGAGTCCGAAAAGCAGGCTCTGATTTATTGAATAAGAATCGTCAATCATGGCCAGATGAGTCAAAACAATCAGATGGTAAACTCTACGAGTCTGAGTCGGGTGGCAATGATTCAGATGCCAGTGGAGAGGGTCGTAGAACAGCAACAGAGACACCAGTCCTTGATAATGATTCTTATTCACTGGGCACACCTGGAACCAGAAGAACTGTCTACTACACCGATGATTCGCCATCACCTGCCACTTCCTTGCCGGTATTATAACATTTTTTTTATTTATTAATTTTTTTCATTTTACTAAAGGAACATTCAAAATCGACATTGGTTTTGCTAATTTTTCATTTTTTCAGCCTGAACAAAAATGCGATGGCTCTCCACAGAGTCCAATAATTGACGATGATCCTCAATCGAATCGACCAACTCAGGATCAAACACCCCGTTCTGTTCTTATTTATAATAAAGTATCGGCAGTTATAAATGAGACACAAAGTTTAACAACTCCAGTCAATGAACAACTACCCAATGAAGAAATTGGTGAGCCTCTTCCAGCTAAAGACCCGAAGGTCGGTAATTCAGTTTGGTATGAATACGGATGTGTTTGAAATTCTACAGACTGAAAGTTTAATAAATAGGATCGAGTGATAATGCATAGATACATAATAATTTATATTATGGTTCAATGGAATAAGATACGACTTCTGTTGAATTTTTTAGCTCTTCTTTTGGTTAAGAAAAATTGAATGTTTTTAAAATTACATGCATCTCTTATTCCATTATTCCATTGAGCATTTTACTGTTTCTTTTGATAAATAATACAAAGCAATGCTTCCTTTATGATAAAATGACTATATCTACGATGTATTAAAGCCATTTAATTATACATACATAGATATAAAGATGGCTTATGTATGGAGGGAATTACCCAAAATAGGCGACGAATAAGAATTCTGTTTCAATTACACTACATTTTGTTAGTTCTATTTAATTAGATTCTCTTAACCAATTATAATCATTAATTAACATTGTTTTTTTTCTTTGTTTTTCATTGTCGTATTCATGAAAAATAAATTTTCAAGAGAAAATCCATTCTCTCCAACTGAATATGCATTTATAACTACTTATATGCATTTTATTATAGCCGTATTGTGATATAAATTGTGAAAAAGAAAACGTTGTATCTATCGTCGACTTATTTTCAAGAAGAAAACAAATCGTGTAGAAAATATTAAGAATAGCTTGCCGGCTGGTACTTTGGACGATTATTCCGTCACCGGTAAAATAATTATTCTTGTACAGAATCAGCGAGATTATTTATGAATTCAGTTTCTACCGAATAGGCTAATCAACATGTACAAAATAATTCCGGCCCATTTATTATACTATATTTATATGCTCGTTTTCAATTTCATCAACTTAATTAACAATGCATTTTGCAACAGAGGATAGAAAGAAAAACGTAACAAAGTATTATTTGTACTAAAGAACTCGCATCTCATAGAATTTAAGTCAATTTTTATATTTTTTAGTATTTTGTGCGTATTAAAGTTTTAAGAGCAAGAAAATTCAATTATGTTCAATTTGTTTTTTTTCCCCCTTTAATTATTTGTTCCCCTGTTTTAAACTGCGTTCCCCGAGGGAATGCATGCACGGCATTCTGTTGGGGGCTAAAAGGACTCGGCTACTTTTTTATCATCCTTCTCACGAACTCTCAAAAGGATCTTGCCACAAAAAAAAATTATCCACCTTCTGTTTCGCCTCTTTTCCTTCCTCTCCCTTTCGTAAATTCTCAGACCTCTAAAAATTTGCATACCTTCCCCTCCATTCTCTCGACTCATTTGATTAGATTTTAAAAAAATTCTGCTAATAGGCTTCATCGGTTGATGCGTGTGAACGCATCAAACTTGAACATGAGTTAGTCCGTTTCTCTGATGTTTATTCCACTTTTTCATGGTATCCTCGATTGTTGCTATTTTCAATATTTCAGCATATTTTTTATTCGCTGCATCTCATCAGCCTAATTAAATTAATCCTAAGAATTGGATTGATTCTTACAGAACAAGACGAATAATCAATCAACTATTTCTCCTTCCATTGTGAATAAAATTGCATCAATAATTTGCACACTACAATTTTTTTTCAAAATCTATTGGTCTAAAAAACACAAGGGTTTGATAACAATCCTTGCGTCGTTAATAAAAAAAAATCCCTCTCCTCTTCTCAATAGCGGGGAATAAAAAAAGAGGGAAATGCTTTGAAGATTTGAAACAAAACTCTCTACTGAAAAAAACCCGAAAGACCATGGCGACAGTCGCGGCAGATATGAAATTTAAAAAAGTAAGGCTTCATCGATGCGGCAAAAGGCTGTCGGAAAAAAAATAAAAAAGCCTTGGGGAAAAAAAAATAAAAAGTGTAGATACGTTTGCGCCGTCATTTTTGCAGTTCACCCCTTGAAACTGGAACGCTGCGAGGGAGGTCGGGAGGGAGGGGGGGGGCAAAAGAGAGAGAGAAAGAGAGGCAGATTGCCGGGGTCGTACGATTGGAAGCGAGGGGTGGTCTCCCGTGCACCAAAGGAGGGAGGATACTTTTTTTTTATAAATTCCCCCCCCCCTGACCATTTCTCTCTCTTTCTCACTCCCTCTCTCTCTTTCCTTCTCAAGCCCCGGGTTCTCCTTTTCAGCAGTAGGGTTTTGGCCTTTGGGGTGGGGGGAGAGGAACGTAGGGATACTTCTTTTTACAGAGTAGAAGCATCAGGGTGGAGCGTTAGGTTTTGCAAGAGTGAGAAGGAGAGTTGGCGTCTCGTGCCAGAGACGGTGGTGGCCAACGTGGAGGGGAACAACAGGGAAGTGGAGAAGTGGTGGGACCAAGAGAGGGGCAAAACTGGCGGGCACTGAACAAACTCCTCTCTGTGTGTCCGGAAAGTCCAAAACCGGCACACTGTCATGACAAACAATGTGTTGTACACTCTCGTACGGTTCTTGTCTTGCTGACACGCGTGTTCAGTGATACCGCAGGCACTCATTAATCCAAAACAACATAAACATTATCATTAATCAATTCGTTTATTTATTGAAATTACAAAAATTTCAATATACATTTTGTTTTTGCACGTTTGATTGTTTTCGTTTTTGTTTTTTTTTTCTTTTTTCATTTCTGCATTGTCAGTAGTTTTGTGTGAAGACATTCCATTTCTCTCAGGTTGTTTTCCTTCTGCACGTTGAGCATAGAAATTTCGTGTTAATTTGTTTGAATTACGAATGATTGTGGATGAATGGGTTGTTTTGGAGCACGCGATTAAAAGGATTAAGTCTAGTGAATTATGGAGACTCGAATTGGTGTGTGTGGTGGCGGTATTAGCGGTGCCATTGAGCCGGTGAGATGCGTTGGCACTCCTTCACCGGTACCATCTACGACATTAGTATCAACATCATCATCATCATCAGCAGCAGCAGCAGCATCAACGACAACAACAGCAACAACAACAGCAATAACAGCGGGAATTAACAATAATGCGATAAGCTCTGTTGGTATCAGTCAGAGTCCAATGGTTGTGCTACCGAGTCCGCCGGCTGCATCACATCAGAGTAATGTGCCAAGGATACTCAGCAGAAATGTCAATGGAACACGTGAGTTTGTTTATTTCACTGGTATTTCTTATAGTTGGATGAAAAGGTTTTTGTTAAATGTTTTTTTGGACTATTTTAGTTAAAATGATATATTTATTCAGCTCTCGACTGTTTGTTAATGAGGCTCGTTTGTACCTGATTTACTCACAGGTAATTTACTTGTCAAGACCAAGGAATCTGAGAAATATTTGTTTTCTTATTGTGAATTCTCCTCTCCTCCCCTTCACCGGGCCTCGTTGCAATTTCCCTCGACACACTGTCATGTTTATTGTTTGACGTGACAAGACAACACACTGGTGCTGGTACGGATGGTTTATAGTCAGTCCAAGATGAGACGAACGATGCGAAAAACTGGTTCTATAAATTTTCGGTTGAAGAAATGAAGAAACCACTGGATCCCTCGTTTTCTTCACAAGTGATAAGAGGAGACAGAACTGTTTTATATTTAAGTATTGAATCAAAAAGATGTATTTTATGTCTCCTTCGATCCATTTGAGATTAACGTTTGTGTTATGGTGAAGTTGTAGAATGAGATGACTCACCCTCTCTTATATTTCTTTTGGTGGCACTCTCCTGGCCAAGCACCAGCGCCGGACTTTGAGACAAAAAACCGTAACGACTGTGCAAAAACTCCAACGCGGAGTACGTTTTTCGTAGGCCACACGGAGGCCGCCGGCGTTGGCTATATTGCGAGATCACTTTTTGCCGTTTTCTTGCCACGAGACAAACACATCTACGCGTTTATTCTGTATATATACATGGACGGACTTTTGCGACGCCAGTATCGCTACCGCAAAAAACACGGTAAAGAGAAAAAAATTGGCGCGATAAAAAATTGATGGTCTTGTGGTTTTGCTATGTTTTTATATTTTTCTCAACTTTTTCATCTTCTCTCATGCGAAGAAACTCCTGCCATGTTTGAATGACTCATTTTTTACATCCAAATCTGATCTGATGCAACGGATTTTTGAGCTTTTTATTTTTATTAATTTCTCTTTCTTGTGCCGTTTGATTGTTGGATTCGATTGTTCCCGTATGCGCTTTGCATACATCTGGTTATATCTTGATTTTTTTTTCCTGTGAGATGTACCCACGCGTATACGTTAATGCAGCTGTGCAATGCGTCCCAGACGAATTATTTCGTCCTTATGATATTCTTCCTTTGGTTCCTTCATTCACTCTTTTTTTTTTCTTCTTGACAAGTATTATGTGCACTGTGGATATAGAGGATGCTGTTTACTTGGAATGGCTGGTTCTTGTGCTGTAATCTCAATAAATGATCGGGGTTTCAACGGCTGATGCACATGGATAATCTTCAATGAAGAGATTCATTAATAATTCTCAAAAAAAAAAATGTCTCGTGTGATTTTCAGCAACAATTCAGAATTGATTTTTCTACTGACGGCGTTGTGACAATCAATTCCTCCTCTTTCATTTCTCAATTATGTGCTTTGTAATCAGTCCAAACGAAATAATACCCACTCTTCTGTAAAAATGATCAGTTTTCCTCGTTCCACTTTGCTTGTGATCATAAACTGAAACTTTATGTTTGCATTTTTGCTCCTTCGAGTTACTCACAATAAAAAAAACAGGCAGGAGGGCTGGGGCAATGTTTTTTCACTCCCAAGATTTACGAGATGAATTTCAACTCGGGCAAATAAATTCCGAAACTTTTTTTCACTGTTTCAACGTGAGATGATAAAATTATAGAATACCAGAGTATGTGCACTGATAGAAAGGATTAGTTACTATTAACGAATGGATTTGGTTGGAGGCTAGGGTCTATTCGCTCTCACCAATTGTTCATTCGTTAATAGTTAACAAATGCATATTTGCAGAGCCTTGTTTGACTCGACTTTCACCTTTCACGTGAACCATTCGTTAATAGTTCACGAATCTCATTTGGAATAAATGAATCAGTCTATCAGTGTGGATCACTGGTGCAAGTGTCGCATTTATGATGAAATCAATCTCAGGGGGGGGGGACAAATTTCCCACAAGAGCTCTTTTGCATACATTAAAATGTTTTTTTTTCTGGGTTGTTTCGGATTTTTTTCATGACTATGACATTGAAGACCCCCTTCCATTTTTTTTTTCATGTGACATCTATTTTTACATTATATTTCAAATATTAAATGCGAAGAAGTGATGAGATTGTTGACATTTATTTCTTTTTCCTAAAAAAGTGGGGAAAAAAAACGAAATGAAAAGTAATGAAGATATTTTTTCAGTTGATTAATTTTCATGAGTACCACACCACAAAGACCTTGACCACAGAAAAAGTGTGAATCCTATTGGACATTCTCATTTGTCAATTGTAATTGAATCATTTAGCCAAAAACAAAAGGCACAATTTTCCCAACAGGGACTCGTCACATCGTCTCGTCAGATAGTCAGCACAGAAAGGGTATCTGCTACATAAAAAGCTCTAAAGCCAGAAAAACAGGCATGAGAAAAGAAGCTGGTCTCTATAGGTGCGGGTATTGAGTCGCTTTTGTCTTGTTTTTTCTACATATATTTTTTTTCATTCCACAACTTCTCTCGATTTTTTCCTCATTCCTTTTTTTATGGGGGAGAAGAGACGATATACATACGCACCCGGTGTGTGAAGGGGTGAGAAAGGGTCGCCGAGAGGGAAAGTGGGTCCCGGGGGGCGCCGTGTGTCTAAACTCATGCACGCACAGGGAAGAAGGGGGGGAATACTTACCGCAGCGGTGGGGATAGTTTTTGGACAGGTAGGTGCCTCACGCGGGCACCTTGTTGCATCCTCCTTGCGGATTATCACTAGAACAAAAAACCATCTCATCGTTAAGAAAAAAACAACCCTCTGTACAATCATCATTTTTTTCTAATTATCTGACGTGGGAAAAGTTGCAGAGAGTGTTGCCAGGTGCATTTTTGCGTGAGACAATTTTAATACTTCAATCGACACCTTGCAAAAAATTGACAAATTTACATAAAGGAATAATCATATTCAAATTAAATATATTATTCTAAAAAAATGGAGAATATTGTCTCTTATTTCTCACATTATTTCGTTGATTAAAATTGAAGGTAATTGATTTGTCTGCACTGATAGAACGGTTTAGTCGAACCAAACGAGACTTTTTCACTATTACCACGACTCGTTAACTATTAACGAATCACGGTAACAGTTAAGAAGCCTCGTTTGGTGCAACTGAATCGTTCCACCTTTTCTGTCAGTGTGCTGTAGAATTGGGATATTGCAGAAATTGATCTGCGACTTAATTGCACATCAATTGAATTTCATAACGAATGGCCGGACACTCGCTATATATATGCACTTGGTAAAATATCTTTTTTTTTTGTCAAGTATTGCATCATGCACGGAGAGAAATATTCAAGAAAAATTACGGAACATTTCACGTAATTCGCAAGCGAGAATCGTTTTCAGTGAATTTCTATAGGAATATAAGAGAATAAATCCGAAACGTTCAGTAAATTTTCGGGTCTGTCACCGAAGAAATACGAAAAAGTCACGTAATTTTTCTGGAAGTTGTAAAATCTAACAGAAACTTCAAGACTTATTATGCCTCAGAACATGAAAATTCTTGGATGTTTAAGAATTTTTACGAAAAGTTCCGGAAAAATTACGGAACATGTTGTTAAAATCTCCCCCTCACGGTGACTCATGGCTAGCCGTGAGGCGTCGGACGGACGAGTAATTTTTACGGAACAGATCGTAGAATTTACGTGACGCTTGACACTTTTTATTGAATTTTACTTCGCTCCCAGATTACGTTTCGAAACGTAATTTTTACGTCTCTTTTCTGGTAATTTTTATTGAATATTTCTCTCCGTGTGAGTTTTACGTTCATTTTATGGATGGATAGAGGGACAAAACAAAACAAAATTCAACCCAATTTTTACGGAAACCGAAGGCCCCTATTACTAAACGAACTTATTCCGACCTAAATTGTTATTTTAAAAAGGAACAATACCTTTTTCAATTAAATATTCATGTTTCACATGAGGAATCGTACAAAAATGATCATGAAAAAGTAAAATAATTCTCGGAATTTTATTCCCCTACAGTTCCTGTGGTATCTTTTACGGGATTAATGTGGCTTAAATTGTTTCATTTAAAAAGAACAAACAGTATGAAAAATGAATTATAAAATTAGCAGCGAGCAAAGATTCAGGCTACGAGAGATGAAAGATTGAATTTGAAAAGTAAATGAAAATGTATCGATCTTTGTAAATCGCTTTAACAAATTTATACGATCGTTTAGTCGGACAATCGTGGATACGTGCTGCGAATAATGCACCCGTCGCGCCAGTTTCACGTGTATATAAACCAGAGAAAGGCGACGCGGACTTCTGTGATGCCAACACAGTCGAGACATCACTATATTTATTATCTGTATGATATCTTTAGATCCTGGAGCGCAGCTTTCATTTTTCCTTTTTTCGTTAAATTTATTTGCTTAATCGTCTCAAACAACAACTAACGTTTACAATGTAATACAATTTAATCATCATGGCACCCCTTTTCGAGAAACCGTTAAAATCCGTTAATAAAGTCGTTACAGTCGTCTAATTGAAAATGAAAAAAAAATTCTCAGGGCATCAGCCATTTTTTCGCATTGGGCTGTGACCCAAAGAGCTGAGGGGTGAGTCCCAGGGGTTGAAATTTCGGTGGGGAGCGAGAGCCTGGAAAATGGGCTGTACCCTAGAGAGATTCAACTCCACCCTGTATCCCCAACCGTTGCCTACCTTATTGATATTATTATTATTTGATTTTTTTTGAATTCTCCAATAAAAAGTTATACGTGAAAAGCATTAAAACCCGGCGCGCTAAAAGACCGGTAGTCCAGACGCGCAGGGGTAAGTTAAACAGTGGGGATAGAGAGGAGGTTAGTAGCCGCGAGACTGAGTCCATCTGCCCGGTGTGTTTTGTCCGGAGAGGAGAGATGGTAGAGGTAGACCCCAAGAGCAAAAACTCACCTAACCCTTCCTTGATTACAATGCCAGCAAAAAGCGAAATACTAACCGCCGCCGCCGACGCTCTGGGGCTGAGAGATGTGACGAGAAGAGAACGATAGGTATAGAAAGAGAGGAACGAGGAGCGCCCGCGCATAACGCCCCGGATCCTAAGAAACTAGACTCGTTTTTGTTGTAGACGAGCTCACCACCGCTCTCCGTAAAGTATCGGACAAAGAACATACACCCTCCTTTTCCTCCTCCTACTACTACTTTTTATTTGGACCATTCCCTCCGTTCCTCCCTTCAAACCCGTTGAGGCTTCTGCTAAAAAGAATTCCCTGGGTCATTTGGCCAAAAAAAACTCACCTTTTTTTTCCGCAAAATTGAGTCATAAAAAACGCGCTCTGGTACTTTCATGGAACCAAAATATTTATTTGTCATCATTGACTCCTCAAAAGAACAAGTCGATTGTCAGTTGGCCTGAATTACTTGTCAGGCTTTATTTCAATCATTCTTATATAAATATTAATACCGGAAATAATTAAATGAGTGCCATGTGGACCTTTTGTTCTCCACCTTCAATTCATCCCCTTTTGCCTTTGATTGGTCTAATTACCCAACAATTGCTCGTTAAGAGGCACGGATTTACAAAGTCACATGGTACCTTGAACCTTAAGAGAAAAGAAAAAAAAAAAAGCGTAAAAGTAGGTAACATGGCTATTCAAAGAATTGAAAAAGTATAAAGTTTCAAAAGTATAAAGTATCAAGCGGACATTTATACGTTCCCATGATTGAACTGGCACCCAGAAGGATCTGGTTTACCTCCTGTCCTCCACTTCTTCTCATCATATTTCTTCGCTGCGTGCCTAAGAGGCCTCTCTCTCCTCCACTGTCCATATGATAAAAAGTGTTTTTGCCTTTGTATTCTCGGGGTTAGAAAAAAAGTAGTTATGTAAATGACAGACCAGTAAGCATGGCTCTCGATCACCAGGTATGGCAAATCTACAAGAATGGAACAACAAAAAAAATTAGATAAAAAAAAAGAGGAAAAAAATCCAAAATGTCTCGGTCGAAATTTCTTATGGTGATTCGATCTAGTGGTGAAAATCTTCAAATGGTCAATTATGAAAATACTGATTAGAGATGATGACCAAAAATGCCAATTAGTGAATTTCATAGATGATTGGTTGTCATTTTGATTGAATTAAACAATACATTCCAATAAATTATGTTGAATGTCCAAAAAGATGTCGTGATGGGAAATTACCCTCAACTTGCTTGAACGACTGCCAAAAAAAGGAATTAAATGGGAAAAAAAAGGTTGATATGACAAAAAGGTACAAGAGACAAAGGCAGATATGAAACGAAGACGCAGGCAAGCGTGAGACCGGACTGACTAGAGGTCTCGTAATAAGACCGTCGGCCAGTTTTTTTTCCACTCTTTCCCCCGTGGCCCCCATCCCCTTTCAGCAATGGCTGTTTGTGCCGGTATTAATTTATACGCGCTACGTGTGTGCACGCGGTATCCTCTGGACGAGGCCGGCATCAGTCGCCGCGTTTTTCTTTTAACGTTTCTCGAAATTTGCAAGAAACTAGTCGGACACCCCGAAGACGACGGATACTCCTTCAACTCTTTTCTTGTCGATTCGTGTCTTCACCCGTCGGTTATCCGCCGTCCGTTGCACTCTTGTTGAGAGAAAGAGAAGACGTTGTCTCGAGACTGCTAAAGAAGGTACTTTTTCCACTGATTCAATGGGAGAATAATCCAACTCAAACTCAAATTTTTATTTACCAAGCACTTTCTCATCGGAGCTATGGAATATATGAAATATTATTAGCATGATTTTTAAAAAAGTTGAAAGAAAATGAACAAAAATTAATACCATTCAATACTTATTCAAACCTCAGTTGTACAGACCTCAGTACCGCAAAATGAAGCAGAGTTACAATTGTATAGAGTCATGCAGAGAGCATCATTGTTGGGCTATTATGACACACTTCTTGAAATGGGTAATTAACTCGAGAAATGCCTTTTTATCAATATAATGAGCATTCGATTGGAATGACAATTTATAAGAAACAATGACAATTTATAAGGTGGAGATGATGTGCAGCAACTGTGCGATGCTGGTGAGGAGGAATTCCTTGAAATAATGGCACTGGTAGGAATGGCGAGTAAACCACTGCACGTGAGAAGACTACAAAAGGCTCTCCAAGAGTGGATTACTAATCCTTGTGAGAAATATTAAATAATTATTTCGCTCAATTTCCCAGCCATTCGAGAGATGTGATTTTTCTCTTGTCTGATGATGATGATGATGATGATGGTTTTAGCCCTTTTCCAAACACCAGTGGTGCCAGGAACTGCATCGGCCAAGAATTCAACGCCTTCGGTAACAACATTCACATGTGCTAGCCCGAGAGCCCAGAATTCCAGTGTCTTTAGTGGATCAGTAGCCTCAACTAGTCCCACCACTCCAATTTCATTGAGCCACGTGCCTATCACACCTCTACCGTGTCGCAGTATCAGTCCTTTGACACCAGTTGCAAACGTTGTTACACCTACTCCTACCTCAACATTTCGACAGAGTCCGAGTCCCAATACTAATACCCCATATTCTGGAGTACACAGTCCAGACGTACTTCAGGTAATTTACATATCATATAGATATTTTCTATGATTCTATTTTCTACTTGTAATTAAGAAATTTTCATTCATTATTCAATTAGGTAGGCACATGTGAATCATCTTGCGGCAGTGGTACAACACCAAGTCCAGGAGGCGGTGGTGGTAGTTTAAATGCACCACCCAGTCCGACTCAGACAACCCCTATACTACTCCCCTCCCAAGTACAACGACTCGCTGATGCAGCTGAGCGTCTTGCTAGTAATTTGCGTCCCCTCGATCCAAAACCACACAATATTAAGAAGAAGATTTGCAAGAACCTCGAGGTGAGTTGTTGTTTTATTGCTGGTTTTATATGAAAAATACATTTTTAATAAATACATTTTTAGTTTTTCTTCTCAACTTGTCTCTTTGTCATCAGATGGTAATGACTATGCCCGACACTGACCCCAAGAGGATGGAGGAAATACGAAAATACGCGGCGATTTATGGTCGTTTTGACTGCAAACGAAAGCCTGAAAAACCATTGACATTACATGAGGTATCGGTCAATGAAGCAGCCGCTCAAATTTGTCGATTTGTGCCGGCATTGTTGACGAGAAGAGATGAACTTTTTCCTCTTGCAAGACGAGTTGTTAGAGACTCGGGCTATCACTACTCGAAAAATCAATTGTAATATTTATCATCCTCGTTAAAACGTTATTTTTATTAATATCATAATATTTATATTTTTAGTGGGCAAACATTATTTTTTCAGCATGACGTCCATGACAAGACATCGTGAGAATGGTGACGAGCCTGAGGTCACTGGTGAAAGGGTTAAGAGACGTCACCTGGATCATGATCCGGAGGGGGAAGACACGTCTCAGGTTAGCGTTAGCGTTCCCCCACCAACAATAAATGAAAACAAAACAACGCACCTGTAATGACGGTCTAACACCATACCAATAGCACTGACGCGCACAATAATGCCCCAACTAACAACTTGACGTTTTTATTAAAATTCGGAAAAAAGGTCAAGTATAACAATCTGACAAATTGCTCGCATGGTTTTGCTGTTTTGGGTTTGTACACGCTCGCGAAATTGTGCATGTGAGATTCTCCCTCGGATTTTACGATTTTCATAAACTCGTAAACTTTGAGGGAAGAATTGATTTTGTCTCTTTCTTCTTCGACTGTTTTGCTTCTATCTGCCTTTTACTATCTGTAGCAGTCGGCGTGTTTCAGGCCGAGTTGGACCTTCGGTGTACCGGCATGGATGTCAACATTTCCAGCCTCAGGAGCCATGGGTCATCGAGGTCTGTATTATTATTATTATTATTATTTTTATTTCAACTCATTAGAGGGAGCTGAATAAAGCACGTGTTTATAGCAACACTTTATTATTTTAGTCCAGTCTGGCGGAAGAAGAATAACAACGGTGTATTCGGAACGAGTATTGAAGAGATCAGTGACACCGATAGTCAATTTTCATTTTCTAACGAAGAATCATCTTCACTTCATGTGAGTTTATTAACAATTATATTTCATTACTCCATATTACTCATAATTACATTGCTATGAAATGGCCTTTTTTTCCCCAGGATCCAAACGACCTAGATGCGGACAATACTGATAAAGAGAGTGATTTCAATTTGAAGGTACAATAAGCAAACCAATTGACCAATGTAGTTCAATTATAATGTAGCCAAGACAGTGGTCCACATTCTTACATTATTTGTCATTCTTGAAGCAAATTATCCCAATGTTTTCTTGAATATTGCTAATTTCCAATTTTTTTTCTTTTCATCAGGTTATTGCCTCTCGGGGAGACAACATAATTGCTGTAGCCAATCCAGCACTGATGGAGTGCAATCATCCCATTAAGAAGGAGCCTGAAGATGAAAAGTCAACGCTGTGATAATAATATGTTAGTTTGATATTGTTAAATCTTCAAGAATAATTCAACATCGTTTCTGTTAATAATTTAAAAGAGAAAGCATAAGTGAAAAATATACACACACACATCATCAACTAATTTGTTATTTGTACTGTCGAAAAAAAAAAATGATGATTTACATCGCCATGATTATAGCAGTTTTCAGTGTGATTATACTTGTAGCTTTAGTTGCACTTGCATTACACATTCTGTATAGATATAACTGACTCAAAACGAAGTAAAACGAATGAGGCGAAAACTAGTGTGTTCTTTACTCTATTGATGCATCCAAAATCCGTCTGATGAATCGAGTCCAAGATAATATGTAAATATCTTTTTGTTAAAATATTAAAGAGTATTCCTATATATGTATATTATTTTTCAAACACTTTATGTCATTCCAATACTTGAAAGTCCATTTTCTACATTATCTACATTTAATAATTGAGAGGGCAGCACTTTCTTCACTTGACCGAAAATTCCGCGTGTGGCGTCAGAATCGTCAGTGTCGTGGGCTCTGCCACGTAATGTTGCGTTCCGTTTATAAATTATCATCGATACATAATTTCATAAATTTTCATTGTTAATCTAGAAGCAATGCCAAAAACTGTGACATTTCTGACGTAACAGTGACTATTCTCATTCAATTGGTACTGAGATCAAGGTAAGGGCCACTGTACTCACGTAGATGACATTTTTTTTTTGGGCAAAAGAAATTGTAGGAAGTGCATGACTTGACTAACTGCCTCTGTACGTGGAATGATAGTTGTGTCTGTTGGTGATTGAAGTACATATGAATCTTGTGAATTTGTCATTTATTGACTCCATTTCCATCAACTCCACGTAGTTGTCCAATCTCCGTGTGGTCATCTTAAAAAGATTAAAAAAATATTTTTTTATGCCGCTCAAAATACATTACATTTCATATCCCAACATTTATACTATTGACAAGGCAAAGCCAGACGAAGATGTGAATAATGACGTCTAACAGTTTTTTATGAATTATCACAGGGAGACAAGCGAATTAAAATGTCTCAACCTAGTGGTTATCAGCCGTCTTACCCGGATTTATTGAAAAGTGGCGCAGCACCACCACCACCACCATTAGCCTCTATGGTCAATGGTCAATCAAGTGCTATTCCACCCATACAAAATGGGACGCAGCAGCAGGCTGCTGCATTATTTAAAAATCCAACGGGTATGAATCATAAATTATAATATTCTTTAATTGACTGAAGTTTATTACTCAGTAGTAATCACTGGCAAAGGCATTCCGAGTGACGTCAGTTAATTTCAATATATGTATGAAACGATGGCGGTAGAAGAAGAGAAAGTTATGGAACTACTCCGAATGGTATCTGTCAATCACTCAAGCAAGATGACTTTTGTTCGAAAAATCATATTATACTTGTATCGCCATATTTCATTCTATTTTCTTTGTATTTTCATGAATTGAATGAGGCAAAAGTAAATATATATGTATATGAATAAATACAGGTACACCATCGTCACAATCGTCCCGAGATCCATCGAGAGAAACTTCCAGAGACCCATCTCCAACCCAACATCTCTATACTCAGTACAGACCTCAACTGACGCGTCCTCCAATGCCTCCGATGAATGGCCAGCAATCCCAACCAATTCTTCAAGAGCGTCAATATCCTCTTGTTCCTCATCAACACATGACCAATCCACCGCGTCCAGGATTACCTCCAAATTCTCAGGAGTCCATGAGACCTCATAACTTACCCCCCTCGAATCCGAATTTGAATCCTCAGTACCCTCCAATCAACACTCCAGTCTCCAATGTCAATCACCAGCAGTGGAAACATTCAACAAGTGCCCAACAGCATCAGGATAGTAGTTTAAACTCGGCAATGCAAAAGCAGCCGTTGATACAATTGGCGACATCTCCACAGGGTAATCAATCAAATGTACAAAATTCATCGAGACAATTGGCTTCACATCCAGCTCAAATGCAGTACATGAATCAAGTATCACCACCACAAGTACCACAAGCACCACAGCCACTGCAAAATCCCCAACAACAACAACAAGGCCTCCAGAATAATTATCTCAATCAACCATCAACCATTCCATCCACTTATCCCAATCAAAATGTCTACAGTAGTTGTGCGAATTTACCTAGTCAAAGAAAATATCCTCAGGCACCTTTTACTGGACCACCACCAAGAGAGAGTAATATTGGCTATCAACACTATCAACAGCAGCAGCAACAACAACAACAACAACCATACTTTGGACAAATGGCCAATGTTCCCTTGGATAATTTATCAAAAAGATATCCTGGTGCACCAGGTTATACCAACGATGCGTCAATGAATCAATTGAATACTCAAATGGGATCACTCAGTGTTACTAAAACCGGTTTCAATAGCCTCTGGGGCCAACAGTCTCTTGATCTATTGCAGTGCAGAACTGTACTGCCATGTGAAAAAGTTGAACCTCCAAAGATTGGGTTGCAGCAGGAATTTTTGGATAGTGTCAACTGTAGCCCTGAGATATTTAGATGCACCTTGACTAAAGTGCCAGAGAGCAACTCGTTGCTGCAAAAATCAAGATTACCACTGGGAATTTTGATTCATCCATTCAAGGACCTCAATCATTTATCTGTCATACAATGTAGCACAATAGTACGGTGTCGTGCTTGTCGTACGTACATCAATCCATTTGTTTATTTTGTCGATTCAAAAAGATGGAAGTGCAATTTGTGTTATCGAGTCAATGAACTTCCTGAGGAGTTTCAATTTGATCCAGTTACAAAAACTTATGGAGATCCATCGAGAAGACCCGAAGTTAAAACGAGTACAATTGAATTTATCGCTCCAAGTGAATACATGCTCCGTCCACCTCAGCCAGCTGTCTATTTGTTTTTACTTGATGTATCGAGATTAGCTGTGGAGAGTGGATATCTGAATATTGTTTGCCAAGTTATATCGGAGGAATTATCAAAATTACCAGGGGACAGTAGAACACAAGTGGGTTTTCTAGCTATAGATTCAGCTGTACATTTTTTCAGCATGCCAGATAATGTTTCTCAACCACACGAATTGATAATGCTCGATGTTGATGATGTTTTTCTACCATGTCCTGACAATTTAATTGTCAATTTGAGGGAGAGAGAGGAATTAATACGCGATTTATTGGCTCAGTTGCCAACAAAATTCAGTGGTACACACGATACAAATTCAGCACTTGGGGCTGGATTACAATCTGCCTTTAAATTAATGTCAGCAACTGGTGGACGTGTAACGGTGTTTCAATCGTGCCTACCCAATATTGGACCAGGAACTCTTCAGTCACGCGAGGATCCCAACACTCGTGCTAGTAAAGATGTCCAACACTTGAATCCAGCTACTGATTTCTACAAACGTTTAGCACTCGACTGCAGTGGTCAACAAATAGCTGTTGATCTTTTCTTATTAAATAGTCAATACAGTGACTTGGCAACACTCTCAGGGATGTGTAAATTTTCAGGTGGCTGTATTTATCACATTCCCTTGTTTCGTTATAACAAACCTCAGCACAATGATACACTTGAGAGAATGCTGCGTCGATATTTGACAAGAAAAATAGGTTTTGAAGCTGTCATGAGAATCAGATGTACAAGAGGCTTAAGTATACACACATTTCATGGCAATTTCTTTGTTAGATCAACAGATCTATTGAGCTTACCCAATGTTAATCCTGATGCTGGATTTGGAATGCAAGTGTCGATTGAAGAAAATTTATCAGACATACAAACAGTGTGTTTTCAAGCTGCATTGCTATATACATCGAGTAAAGGAGAAAGGCGCATAAGAGTTCATACACTTTGTTTACCAGTTACAGCTAGTTTAACTGATATTTTGTACTCAGCTGATCAGCAATGTATTATTGGATTGCTATCTAAAATGGCAGTTGATAGAGCCCAACAGTCAACCTTGACCGATGCTAGAGATGCACTTATTAATGTAGCTATCGACGTTCTATCCACTTACAAAATCTCTCAGTCTGCATTATCTGGAGGTCTCATGGCGCCCATGAATTTGAAACTACTGCCACTTTACATAATTGCTTTATTGAAATTTACTGCATTCAGATTAGGAACAAGTACTCGGTTGGACGATCGTGTTTACTCCATGTGTCAAATGAAAACTCTACCCCTATCTCAACTTATACAGACAGTCTATCCAGATTTTTATCCAATTCATGCACTTGATGATACGAAAAATACCAAGGATATAGATGGAAAAGTATGCCCACAACCACCAAGGCTACACTTATCCGCTGAGAAACTAGATTTTCGCGGTGCATTCTTGATGGACGCTGGAGACAGAATATTCATCTACATTGGCAAAAATATTGATTCACAATTCTGTTGCAACGTACTTGGTGTTTCAGCATATAGCTCCATACCAGAAGAGATGTATGAATTACCTGAATTGGAGACTGTTGAAAGTCAGCGACTGCGCAACTTTGTTTTTAGTCTACAAGATGAAAAACCCTACCACGCATCAATACAAATTATTCGGTAAGTTGATTATCATTATCATCATCATTATTGATCTCCTCAACTCAATCGTCATTTTATTTCCTTCTAGTGATGACAGTCACTTCAGGAGTCTGGTCATTGAACGCTTGATTGAAGACAGATGCGAATCAGCCCTGAGTTACTATGAATTTCTGCAACACATAAAAACCCAAATAAAATAGTTCAGTATTTCAAGTTCATCTCAATCGAACATGTGAAATTTCAAGTGTAGCTAAATCAATTGATGCATGAAGAGATACGATGGCATGAGTGCTCGGAACGTGATCTTCACTGACTGTTTAGATTATAAAATGAACAAAAGATGGAGAAGTATGCATTAATTGTAAACAACTTGTGTGAAAAGACATTGAAAAATTTTTATGACAGAAAATAAGCCTTAAACAAATGCATTATAGGCATTTAACAAAATCTATTGTAATTAACTATCGTCGTTGATAATTTTTAACTAAAACTCGATATTTTTAGTTAATTCATATTCAGTTCCCAGGAGGATTATATAAAAAAAGTAAAGTCATCTTGCATCATGTGTGTATTTTTTTTCTTCATTATTATTATTAGTGATCATTTGAATTAGGTGAATGGATATAATTTCTCCATAATTGTCATTGTCCTCCAACAGTCATAGGTCACATAGTTGCATCACCTATGAAGAACAATAAATAAATTTTAAAAAAAGTTAAATTCAGTCATTTAAAGTGCACATGTAGGCACTTTTTTGTGTCAACGCTTTCATCATCCCATACATACTACTTTGTAGCAAAAATTGATAAATAGTTGGAGTGTATGAATAAAAACGTCTTATCATCACACAATGATCAAGTTGATTTTGACAAATCTGAAATTGGCATTCTTTTCGGCCTACCGTTATGTTAATTATTTATCGATCATTATTATTGATTACTGGTTATTATTGTTATCTGTATGCGGTAAATATGTATGTAAATAAGAAAAATATAAAACATGGATGAGATATGAATAACAATTCTCATTAATTCATTGAAATTTTCTTCTGTCTACCACAACTGGCCGCAGCAGTATGGGAGTATCACGTCGTATTGTCATAATCAAATGGCTTCGAACAATGTACGATGAGAGTTCAATATACAAAGCGGCCACAGATTGAAGCTCTTTGCATAAAGTTACAATACTTGGTTATTGTGAGGAAAAATAATTGAATGGAGAGAATTCGATTTCCCAGGGCAATTACTTACAACTCCAATATGACAAAAGGAAAAAAACAAGTAGTCATGAATAGTCGCCAATATTCCCACTTATTAAGGATAACAGGAAATATAGAGCTTGTTTCAATTTTCAACAAATGATATTTCCCATTGATGGAGAAACTTCAATTACCGTGCTAGTGCTAAATTAACTCCCTAGACTTGAATCTCTTTGTAAATTTTCAAAATCGCTACTGCAAAAAGCTAATGTTTTTCACTTGGTGGCTAACCAATTGATTCAATTGCCGATATTGGCAGGCGAGGAGATTAAAATAGTAGAAAAACAGAAAATAAATAATCGAGCTGGTGATTTAAACGAATGAATATGAAACACGCAATTAGAAATCAAATAAAAATAAGGGGGGATTTCCCTTTAAAATCCAATTACTGAAAGAGATATGATATACCAATTATGGTACGGAAAAAATGTGTGAGTACAATAACCAAATATTTTAATCTTATTACAATATAATTTGAAAGAAATTCAGATTAAATTGATGGTGTGGTATCTCTATCAGTAGTTAATTGCAGCAAAGACGTTGATGAGAAACTAAATTTTTTTCTTTCTTCCCTTCCTTAGCATGAGGGCTATTTCATCTTGTCAGTATGTCATCCTACTACAATATACAATATTCTACACGCTGCCTCGAACCGCACCCCCATGTTGGACAGTCCTGATATATAGATACAGGTACTTTCATCAACTCACCCCAATACAAAACAGTGATAGGTGTTTGCGCAGGCGCCAGAACTCGAGGCGGGCTTGATCGAGGCTTGATTCTGTTGTCAGTACAATGAGTGAGTAGTAGTGTCTCGACATCACTGGGGGGAAGCGAGTCTTTCGCTTTTGTGAGAAACGAGTCACAGTCAGTCCGGTAAGTTGTGCTCTCCAAATATAACTGAGTTTGTTATAACCAACCGAATTGGAATCCAGAATAGAATGATTACAAAGCACAGAAATCTCTTTACCAACTAGCATCTCCTGCTAACAATTCCTCCATTGATTATGAAGAAATTTCCATAAATTCGAAATTTCTACAACGAAGCGAATAAAAATGGGGAAAAAAACTCTTGAAAAAGCATGAGAATTCAACCGAAAGACCTCTGCACTCTATTCGAATGGGTTTTTCAATATAGTACATATAATTCATTCTCATTTTTAATGGTTCGCAATACTTCACGCGGCTATTCATCCTTTTTTTACGACAACTCATGGGTATAGGGGAGGGTGGGGTTAAATGGACACGTCAGACTTTTTTTTAATAATTCATAACTCAGAAACAAATAGATCAATTGAGCTCAGTTTAAGCTCGTCACAGAGGGAAACAATTGTTCTTTGTATTGAAAAGAAAATTATTGAATTTCATCAACATTTCAACCCCTCATTAACATTTGAAAAAAAGTCAAAAGTGTCCGTTTTACCCCACTCTTTCCTACTGTAGTTATGAAGATTTACCAACCAGGTCAATTTTCACAATTATAAATCTATAAAATTGTATCTCATCCGCGAATCGCACTTTACCAGTTCAAAGTTACGTTTATACCGTAGTAAACTTAATTACGTTTAATTTACCGTGGATAAATTTAGGAGTCTTTCAATGGAGCCGGCAAAAGCTAATAAATGCGTATTTCTAAATGGACAATTCACACCGGACGACGACGAATGATATTAATATTTTTCCTCTTCCAATCAATCTTCATTCATCATCGTTCCTCTGCTCAATCTTATATATCTTACTAATAGTTATAGGAATGAACGGGTAGAAAAAAAAACATTTTACTCTCTTATGAAGATTAATTTTCCTCGGGTTTTTCCATTTTCGTTCCCCAGAGATCAGTAGACATAAATTTGAGCAACATCTTTATACGCAACCCCAAATGGCGACCTTCACTCAGTCTCTCCACTTTACTTGGAGGAAAACAGAGCAAGCAAGTTAGGGCAGCGTCTTAAGTGAAATTTATTTTGCTCCCTGTTCTAATTTTTCTGCCCTTTTTCCCCCTTTTTCTCATTCTTCAAGGGCGTGGTCCTTTCTTTAACTAATCACGTCCTATGACCTACGTGTGCAATGAAAGACGAGGTTTCTTTATTCTGAACGATTCACAAGTGAAAATAACGGCGGACTTCGCATATAAATGGTGACTCTGCTCAACTGAAAATTCGAGTAAAAAATTCACTTTTTATTCAGTAGGGCAATTTCTGGCTGCTCGATCAGCCTATCTCATTCGAGGCTTATTCCTTCTGAGCACAGAGACTAATATTGTGATTCTCGAATCATTAGATGCGACTCTATTACATTTGTTTGACAACTCATGGCAAACAATTATTTTTGGGTTTCTGTCCTCTTGTTCCAAGTATTTTGAAGAAAGAATTCCAATAAGTTCACTTGTTTTTCTTTTTATTTGAATGATCATGTTTTATGTCATTAAAAAAACGATGTATTTTGAAATGTATTAGCCATATAATTAATGAAAAAAAAAAAAACAAATTCCCCAGTTACCTCGTTATAGTTTGATTATCCCACAAATTTATATTTCTTGACTCATTTTATATTTTCACTAAGGACGTTCTTCCGATGATCAATCGTTACCCTCATTCAAAATTACATCCTATGAACCATTTACTTTATTTTTTGCCAAGACCTGCACCTAATTCTACCTAAATTAACCAGTTATGTAATTACTCCTCTCCAAACAAGTGGCGGTGCAAAAAGTCCTTCAATTAGTAGTAAGGAATATACAAAGAGCTTTCCACCTGAAGATTTTGAATCCATATTAGAGGCAAGAAAGAGAGAGAGAGAGAGAGAGAGAGAGAGAGAGAGAGAGAGAGAGAGAGCAGGAGCTGCTAGTAGATGGCTAAAAGCACAGACATTTTCTCTTTTGTTGACTGTCATCAATTGTATTAAATGCCTCATCAAATAATCACAAAGCCGAAGAGTAATACCTATAATTATTCAGAATCAATCTGCAATTGATTGTCGTTGAAAAAATGATGTCAATTGTTGAACAAAGCTGTCGATTCACGGATTTTTAAAATTTCATTTGACACTCTTATGCCACACTGGAATGCAACATGAAATGTTAAAATGTCACATATTGCCGCAAATCTTTTCCCGACGTCGTTGAAATTTCTCATGCAAACTGCACATTGCACATTCCACGCCATCATATATACCCATGTATACGTGTTTTTTGTGGAAAATCAGATAAATGACATTTCCAATGATTAAAATTATCCATTTTATGACGAGATATTACCACTTCTCCTCTTTATATTTCATCCCTTGGACTCTATGAGTGTGTGAGTGGCAATTAAATTGGACAAGGAAATTAGAGGTAAAAACTACTCGACATGGATTTAAATGAAATTTTATAAATATGCAAAAAAGTGGGTCAAAAGTTTTCATATAGCTACATAAGTAAATAGAGCAGATGGAGGCAACGAGTTTCGTCAAGTTCTATAGTCTAGCAGGATTATATGATGGAGCGAGTATCTGAACAAGTATCAAGTGATTCCACTTAGCAACATTGAAGTTGTTAGTTTCCATATAGTTTCCAGGCATTTGGCTGACGAATACTATATAGCTGTCGGTATATTACATGTACATATGTAATGTTTACGTTAATCGACGACGGGCTTCCCTGATGTGTACCGCCTACCGCGCCGTTTGAAGAAGAAATAAAATTGTATGAAATGCTCGTGGGAAGGGGGAGGGAGATGGTTTTCAAATAACGCGCAAGCTTTCTGCGTAGTCTCCTGTTCCATGCAGGTTGTAGTAGAGCATACATTGGGCGAGGGGTTGCGAATCGATACAGCCAAGATAGCCCTTGACGATAATCGCTCGGATGGCACGACAATACGCATTGTTACTTTATGCGATAAGCCAAGCTGTTATTGTCGTAACGGGCCGTCAGCAACATGTAACATGCTACGTTACAATTACACGCACTGCCGTGCGTGTTCAATATTTATTTACCGAATGATAGCGCACATTATAGAGATCTAACAAGTTATTCAATACAAAATATTGTTCGTCATAGGGCCAAAAAAAACTTTTCTGACGAATATGATTGCCGCCCTCGTCTTCGGCTCGTGCTGCAAATCTCATATTCGCCAGAAAAGTTTTTTTTGGCCTAATGATGAAATGTACTATTGCAGAATGAACAAAAAACAATGGAACTACAATAACTTGCCCATGCCATGAATTGTTGATTTGAAAAGTAGCTGGAAGGTTTGGAACTGGTCACATTGGATTAAATGAATATTTTCACTGTTGAGTGCACTCTCTTGCTAACAAAACAATCATTTATATTCAATGAGGAGTGTATTATGCATTCATGGAGAAAACTATTTGTTTCAGTTCAACGATATTGCGATTGGGCCGGCGTGAGACTTATGCAATTCATTGATAGTCTGGAATGAAGTAGACGTGTGTGTCATTGATTCAATTATATACATCAGTAGTAATTCAATGTAATGTTAGTGGAACAACATTAACTCAAACTATGCTATATATAATGAATAAAGTTTGAAAATAAATTTTCTACTGTCAAGATAAAAATAATGAAAGGAAATCAAGGCAGAAAAACGAAGAAATTAGGCTTTTTTGTAATATTCAAAGTTTTCTAAAGCTCAAGAAAACAGGCATTGTCGAAGTCCGACAAAGAAACAAGTAGAGTTGTAGTTTGACAATAAGAGTGGACACGCCAAGTCAATACAGCTAGAGATGCAAATGCATCACATGACCCGTGATATGACGGTCACATGACGAGGCGTTCATGACGGCTGTCACAATTCCCCCTCCCCCTTCTGTGACCGTCACAACTTGTCAAGAAAAAATGACAGTCATTTTTCATCTATATAGATGAAACTTTATTTTCATCATGCTGTGACGAAAAGTGAACTTTTCAGCACGCTCCGCGTGCCTAAAAGTCCAATTTCCGTCACATTGTGATGAAAAATATTGTTCGTAACTCGTGAAAAAATGTTTTTTAGCTCGTGGGATTATATATAAACCTCCCACTCGAATTCCTTTTGTATTGCCCTAATCTCCATTTTGAAATGGAAATCACGTTTTTTTTCCATCCATATAGATGAAACTATTTTGTTTTATTCATGAGCGTTACAAATGGGAAATTAGTTATGACCATCATTATGCAACTATATAGATCGTTTGACAACAATTTAGTTACAAATGATCTGTGATAATCATTTGTAGTTGGAAAATTTGTGCGTCACATGATCGTCACAAGACCGTCATTTTTTGGTCATATGACGCGATCTAAAAAATGACGGTCATTTTGCATCTCTAAATACAGCAGATATAGTGAGGGGTTCGTACACCATCATCCGAAAGCCGAGTGCCTCGCACTCGGCTTTCGGATGACCGCACACCGACTCTCACCACTGTCTCATAGCCTGCAATAGCTGTACAATATATTCAATAGAACATTCCTCCTCCGTATAAGCCCACTTTTATTTTACTCAATTGGCCATCACTCAGTATCTTTCACTTTTTTGCTCACTCATTTTCTCAATTTCCTTTCAAATATATATGTTTATATTGTTTACCCAGTACATATGTAACGTGGAGTCCGAAGCATTGATTTTCCAATCTGCGTTTGCAAGTTGCAGATGATGAGTAAATTGCAATTAGTCCGCTGGAATGGTTAATTGGATTGCAGCCAACAGCTGATGCGTAGTTTTCATACTTTTCTTTGTTACACCCTTTTTTCCGATATTTTTCATGATTTTCGCATTGGATTGAAAATCCTTTTTTTAAATCTGTTTTTATTCGAAATATTGAATTTTAAATTGGAATGCAGTGATGTGGTGGGAATAAATATATATTTGTGCAATACTGTGACCAGTTCTATCTCAATTTCAGACCATGATGTGTGGACGTCCGCATGAAAAGGGACCACTTTGTCGATATGGAGTTATGCATACTCTGATAATATTTATAACATTCCGCACATTTTGAGCCCAAAATGATCCTCATAGGGTGAAAAATGACGTCGCCGGAGCAAATGAAAAAAACACTTTAACATGAGCGTAAATGGGAGTTGCTGAGACGAAAACGTGAATATCTCGGAAACTAGAATCGACAAAGTGGTCCCTTTTCATGCGGACGTCCACATATTATTATTGTAAAGTGTCCAACTAAATTCATTGACTTTAATGGTCTATTGAGTGTTTTTCCCTTTGTTCTCAAGCTATGAGAGAAAAAATAATTATTGCTTTCTTCAATTGGTCGAATCGGTCGATTTGTCTATGTATAAATTTTGCTCTAGATACGGGTGACGCCCGTTGTTCATTAACTCGTTTAGTGATTGTGGAAGAAAATTATTTTCAACATTGGATGGGTAAACGTTATAGGCACACAAGCGAACGATCGAATATTCAACTCACTCAACGCCTCACCCGCCACACCACGAGCAGGTTAGCTGCCGGTGAACTTTTGACCCAGCCGCGCGCCTGCCTTATGCTGCTACGACCTTTCACACCACGCCAAACTTGACAGCAAGGATCCAACCCATTTTCCCTTTTCATTTCATCTTCCCCTTGCCTATATCTAGTCTCCCTTCCAGAATTTTCCATTATTTCTTCTGTCTGAGGAGAAAAAAAAATTCTATTCTAAAGATCGAGGAAAGAGTGCTGTCTATTTGACAAAATGAGATCCAACAATTTTCATGTATTTAAAATGCTCCGCAAAACCTACTAAAATAAATTCCAAATATATTTTCAAATGCGCTTCAGCTGTAAGGAAAAAAAGTCCACTAGGGATGGAGGAATTTCTCCCGATATTAATTCTGGTTGACTCATCCATGGAAATCTCTTTCGCAAATCTGGAAATATATATATTACTGATTTGCTGAACACATGTAGATCGTCATACAAGCTTTACGCGTACAACCAAGGCCAAGATTTTCATCTCCCTCTTGCTGCAATATTTACTCTGTAATTTCATTCTATCTGCTCTCTGGAAGCACACACTGCGCAGCGGTCCGTGAGAGAATTACCAGAGTTAATCTTGTCAGAGCCTGGCTCGTGCATACGATAAACCTGTACAATGATTTTCTTACAGACAGGAAAATGTTGCTTTTAAAATGTGCTCAACTTTTTTTGCAAATTACACGTTGGATTAAATGAGTGATGATAAATTTTGTCATTCAAATTACACATAATTATATTGCATAATGTAGTTTTTCAGCTCAATATTTGCAATGACATAGAAATCCATATGAACCTACTTCTATATCTAGGTCTGTAAACCTTTCTAACATATTCTCTCGGGGAAAAAAGAGTGCTTTATTCTACAATTGCGAACACGGAGAGAAATCTTTTAGAAAAATTCTAGTGCTAGCACGGGAAAAGAGGCGCAAAGTGACGGCCAGGAAAAAATTCCAGTGCCGGCACTAGAAATTTTATTGGAGAAAACGTGAATTTTTCCCCGTATTTCTGTGAAAATTTCACAGAAATCCTCAGAAATTTTACCACACTGATAGAACGGATTAGTTATTGTTAACGAATGGATTTTGGTTGAAGGTTAGGGTCTATTCGGTCCCACCAAATGTTCATTCGTTAATAGTTAACGAATGTATATTTGAGGAGCCTTGTTTGACTTGACTTTCGCCATTCAAGTGAACCATTCGTTAACTATTAACGAATATTCATTTGGTCATATTCAACTCTACCATTCGTTAATAGTTACGAATCTCGTTTGGAATAAATGAATCATTCTATCAGTGCAGAAATACCAAGAAATTTTACCTTAACAGCACTAGAATTTTTCACAGCCGGTGGATTATAATTTTTTCCAGTACTCGTACTAGAATTTTTCTAGAAAACTTCTCTCCGTGAAACTATTTCACGTTTAATATAGTAAAATATCTTTACTCTCACCCATAACATAATGAAAAAGTTGCATGACACGATGTATATAAGTGCAGATATTATGGGTTTTGTTTGTTGAACAATAATCAACACGTGGCAATTGTTACACCGGTAGCGACACAATAAGTCTCGTCCCGAGCTTCAGGAAAATGAAGCGAGCACTTACTTCAGTCAACATATATGCTGGAAAAGTATGAGGATGAACCTCAATATAGTAGAGCAGACAATGGGTTGATCTAGGTCATTTGTCAAAGTCATGAAAAACTCATGGATATGTCCCTATTAGAATTTTATTCTCCTCTTGAAAATATCATCAAGTGTGATTTATTTATTTATTTATTTACTTTCGTTTTTTTTTTCACAATTTTTTCTTTCCCTCACTCTGACATCCATTTGGCAGCAAACGAGAGGGAACGCGGGGAGAGAAGTAGAGACAGCTATTAACGGGTGAACAGGTGGCTTTTTCTCGCCTGATAGGGCTGTGCGGTACATAGTAATGAAAAGGCAAAGAGGCACATGTAAAAGCACCGTGCTGCATTCTCTCATTTAGTATATACACAGACATAGACATAGGCCACCATACCTACCTCTACCAGATATATATTTTAGAAGAATATCGATATGATAACATGTGCTCCTACTTATTTTTATGTTACAGAGAACTTAAAAAATCTACTAATAAAATGGGCCTGACTTGAATCAAACTAGGCGGCCAAGTACCGACTCGCCAATGAATTCCCTACAATACAAATATGATAAGCAATTTGGAAAGCCTACTACCACAATTCGACCCGCCTAACAGTATTCACCAAAATTTCAAACTTTGGAAATAATAAAAGAGAACTCTCTTTAATCCTTTCAAGTGCTATCGATTTCGGTGTTACATCATTATTTTTTAAAATAGAAACAAGACAAAACCCCTATAATACGTAGTCGTAAATATTGAGAATATAATAAAAAACAAAAAAAAAATTGAAGAGCGAAGACAATCCCACAACTCACCAAGTTACCTATTTGGCGAAAGAAAAATCACGATAAAACTCAAACGTGTAGTTACATAATTGCTAAATTATGACCAATATTGCAACTCATTGAGTTGCAGGAAAATGTATATTGTTTGAAAAAATGAGAATATGAACAACTCTATTGAATCTAGTACCTGTACCTTTATAAATATATTTAAATATTGTTGTTGAAAGTTATCAAGGAATTTATGTGTTGATGACCAACAAAAAATCCTGTTGTTGGAATTATATAGAAATTATTAAAATTACGGTTAACATATCTTTGAATATTACTGAATATAACTGGAGCCAATTAAAAGTAAAAAAATAAAAATAATGAATTAATTATAGAACGTGAAGAAGCAGATATTATAAAAGAAGAAACGATAAAGTTATATAATTGAAATAGCTATTGCGCCAATTCTAAAAAGAAAACAAAATAAATAAAACAATTTATATGTTACGACCAAGTGTCTACTTGAAATGTCCTCCAAATTGCAATAAATTTGTTTTTTGTTTTTTTCATCGATTTCTCGGTAACAAAAAAACAAAGACGATCTCAATTCAACATAGAACTGTCTTCCATGGAAGCTGTAAGCAGAAATATCGAAAATGCATTTGGGAAAACATAACTGTTCTATTCGATAAAATGTATACTTTTATAAAAATATGGAATTTGAAATTGCCATTGACAAAGCAATAAATGAAATCACGATAAGACTGATCACGAAGACAGATCGTCTAATTCCGCACATTGTTGAATAAAATTAATAATATTCAGAAATAAAAACAATAACCAGTGTGACGATAGCATAAAGTGTAATAAAGTTAGGATGAATCTTGAAGTGGAATTGATAGCTGGAGTGGTGAAAGGTGGGCCACCGCCTTCTCATCTACCGGCACCTCGCCTCATTAAGATATTCATCGCTAGTGAACGTGATGGTGAGTTTATTTTTTAATAACTTTGATGGCACGCCGTGCAATAAGTCGAGTTTATCGCACACTGCGCTTCGCACAGCGTGCTTCAAACTCGCCTTCTGCACGATGTGGCATAAAATAGTATAGACCACTCGGGCATACACTTCGTTTTCAACGAATGTGAATACAGACCTCGCCTTCGGCTCGGCCTGTAAACTTCACATTCGTCGAAATAGTACATTAGAGTACAAGGGCACAAATTTCGTTTTCAACGAATTTGTGTACAGACCTCGCCTTCGGCTCGGCCTGTAAACTACACATTCGTTGAAAACGAAATTTATTACCGAGTGCTCTATAATATTTTATGTCAAATCGTGCAGAAGTCGGGTTTTGAGCAGGCGACGCGAAGCGCAGCGTGCGATAAACTCGACTTATTGCACGGCGCGACATAAACGAAATTTATGCCCTTGTACTCTAATGTACTATTACGTTTAGGCTGAAAACGGTATATGATTTTCAGAATTCTCTGAGGAACGGAAACAGCTGCTCGAACTGGTTGGTCCTGAGCTGCAATCGATATACGATGATATGGGTATTGAGGTAACATTTTCAGCTTTCAAGGGGGACCAATATTGACGGAAAACGGCCTCAGAAATGCTTTATTCATAATTTTTAAAATTATGAAACTTAATTTAACAGGTATTGTTAGTTGACATGCAGTATGGTACAAGCGAGAATCCGGACAGTGACCCTCATCTAGCTGAATTATTCCTGGAAGAAATAAAGGCATCCCATTACTACTCCAGGGGTTGTTTTTTCATTGTAAGTCATTGTGGTATGATATGAAGATCGTAGCAAAAAAAACTGAAATAATTCTATTGAAATGGAACCGTTGATTTTCCATATTTTCTTCAGCTATTGATTGGCACGGAATACAGCACAGGCTGGGTACCAACTAAATTTGACGAAGCCGTTTTCCGCACTCTTGTCATCCACTGTACTCAACTCAACGAGTATTACGCTTACGAAAACCATTGTTACATTCTTAAAGCCACGAGGTAGAGGACTAATTGCACATTTAACTCGCTAATTGTTGATTAAAAATAAAACTTGATTTTAATTTTTTTTCCTCTATAAAAATATGTTCTTCTTAATAGTTTATCTACCCTCTCTGTGTGTCTGTTTTTTTTGTGAGATGAATTTTTGTTTAAGTGAGGAAACGGCTCAAGATGATTGGCAAACAACTGTGGGAAGCCGATTGAAAATACTTTTAAATGATGCAGCCAAGTCAGCTTTAATGAATGATCCAAATAACCCTGAAATCGCCAACGTATTGAAGAGTACTTCCGAGCGGCAACTGGACTATGGCTTAAGTACGTAATCATAATGATGATGATGATGATTAATATTATTATTGTAATAATTTATCAATTTTAGAACTGGATGTTGGGGGTAAAGGAATTCTATCCATAATTCGTAGATGGAAAGATCGTAGTATCGATGAGATGGCCCCGAAATTGCCAGTAGAATGCGAGAAGCTCATAGCCAAAGTGAAAAGTTCATTACCAGTCAATAATGTAATAGAATTGGAGGCTGATTACCATGACAATGAAATAAATCAAAACGCTCATTCAAATGATGATTGTTATTTGAGAAAATTACGCAGCCAGATATTGGAGGTAATTCAACAACTGGTGAATGAATCGGTTGAAGCCAATCCGGAGATAAAGAGTAGAAAAAAATTAGTACAAGAAGTATATGCTGAAAGTTTAGCTCATTTATCGCTTATGCGTGAAATAACTCCTGTGGATGAAAGTGATGAGATTGTACAACGAGTCAAGAGACTTTTGATTGCTGGTAAAAAGAATAAACATGGGCCTATATTCATACGTGGTGGAAAATTGTCTGGTAAATCTGGCAGACTCAGAGCCATTTACGATAAATGCGAAAGTTGGCTGAAACAATCTACAATGAGAATTGTCCGTTTTTGTACCTCAACACCACGATCAGCCTACAGCCTTGAACTATTGAGAGTACTCTGTCAACATATTGGTTTTTTGTCTGGTAACAACGATGGCAACTTGCCACGCGAGGCCTCATTCAATCCGCTCTACCTCAATAATTGGTTAACTCAAATTTTACGGGGAATCGAGGAAAGTGAAAGTGAAAGAGCCAAGGTTAATGATGATGATAATAATGCAGAACAGTTGATTGTCATTATCGATGATCTCCATAGATTGCATCCACTGGAGGGTGACATAGTTGCAGCATTATCATGGCTTCCACTTCAGTTACCTCCTGGTATACATTTTATCATAACAACAAGTATATCTCTCGAGTCTTTAAAATTAACTCCACTTCAGAAAGAAAGATTCAAATGCCCAGAAATACTGATTGACATTAGTGAAAAAACACCAGACACCGGCGATGATTTGACGACGAGAATTGATAATGATATTGAAAAGGCATTTGACTATATGGATAAACTCATTGGAAGAAAAGCAGCTAGCCGCATTGGTTCATTACTGGCATGCACTGAATATGGATTGTCGGAAACGGAAATTCTGGAATTAATAATGCCCACTGGTGGAGACGGCCCATTAACATTATCAGCTGGACAATTTAATTTTGCAACGTGGTGTCTAGTAAGACGTAATTTAATATCATGTTTGAGGGTTCGTGTTATGAGCGGAAGACTCCTATTCTCCTGGCGTTGGTTGTGTCGTGAAGTAGCACGAAAACGTTATCTCTCGACACTGCAATTATCACGAGCCTGTTACGCTGAATTAGCAACGACAATATTCTTTACCGAGCCAGAGGAAGACGATGCAGATCCTAATGAGCAAGATAATAGCAATAAAAAAACGGATGGCAAAGTTAATAAAGAAACTCCTTTTCAAAGTACACCCCAGATATCAGACATAACTTACAGTTTGCGTCACGTCGAGGAGGCTTGGTTGCACTTATTAAGAGCTGGTGATGTTGAAAAATTAAAGAGACTGGCGGTATGTGCATTTGATTTTCTCCTTGCGGCTGTACAAATGATCTCAGTGAGTTATTTACGGTGTGTACTGGAGCACGCAAGGCGTTATCTACTTGAGCGAGATCTCGAATTGGTCTACTATACAATAAGAAATTCCAGTGACGCACTGACAAGAGATCCACTTCAACTCGGTGGACAATTGATTTGTTGGCTAAGACCAGTGGTTGAGGATGGAGGTGATTTGGTGAGTCGAATGATAACAGCAGCAATGGCATGGTGTGATGGTTGCGCGGCACCACTACTGGTACCCTTGAACGGTTGGTTACAATCACCCTTACCCCTACAAATACGTGTGTTAGCATGTCCACAAGGTGTTAACCTTGTTGAAGCAGCACCCTCTGGCCAACACATTATTGTTGTTGGCAGTGGTCCTGCTGGAGTTGATGTTCAATTGTGGCACGTAATGTCTGGTCAACTTGTCCATACGTTTAAAGGCCATTCAAGCCCAATATCGTGTTTATCAGTAACACACCAGTCGCAGTATTTATTGACTGGCTCCGAGGATACAACTATAATGGTTTGGGACATGAAGGAATTGACTCTAAAACGACGAATTTGCGAGCACATTGCATCAGTATTGACACTTACACCAGCACTAAATAATTCAGTTATAGTAAGTGGTGGTGAAGATTCTCGAATAATAGCAACTAGTCTTTTGTCAGGTCAAGTCCTAATGAAAGTTGATCATCATCGTGGACCGGTAACAGCTGTTCGTGTTGATGCAGCTGGTGAGGTCCTTGTATCTGGATCGGCTGATGGTACCGTGTGTCTGTGGTCCCTCGAGAGTTTTAAACTTTTAAACAGTATTACATTGGGATCGCCAGTTTCAATGCTCGATGTATCAGACGACTCTGTATTTCTTTTGGCAGTGTGTGAGGATGAAAAAGTTTATGTACGTTCTCTTGCCACTGGTACGGCACTTCACACACTGAGAGGCCATCAGGGAGCAGTTAAAAGTATATGTCTAGCGCGAGATTGTAGACGAGCTATTGCCGGGGGAATGGATGGGCGTGTATCAATATTTGATATACACAGCGGAAAATTAATAAGAGCATTGTCGACTAATTCATCGGCGGACGTTACGTCTGTTCGAGTTACTGATAAAGATGATTTTTTAATAACCGCCAGTGGCAATCGTGTTATATATTGGAGTTTTCGGGATGAAGAAACGATAAAAAACACTTGTATTATGAGTAAGGAGGGTTTTTACAAACCGAAGAAGCAGCAGCAGCAGCTGCAGCAGCAACAGCAACAAATACACCTACAATATCATACAGCACCTTTAACTTGTATCGATATATCGCGTGATGGAGCTATGGCAGTCACCGGTGGAGTTGATTCCCTTGTCAATTTGTGGCAATTGAATAGCCATGAACTTATGTTGACTCTGGAGGGTCACATTGCCAGTATAACTTGTGTCGCATTTTCAGCATCTGGATTATTTGCCGCTTCAGGCTCAGAGGACAAAACAGTTAGAGTTTGGGGCTTGACACTTGGTCTAGTTGTTGCGACATTTAAACATCAAGCACCCGTGACATCGGTAATTGCTATGCTCGATGGACAAAGAGTTGTTAGCTCTGATCGCAGTGGTGCTATACGTGTATGGGCTGCTGATACTGGAATACTCATACAATCGGTCTGTGGCCCAGGAAGATGTATCGCTGTTTCACCGGATATGAGATATACCATTTGTGGATCAGGAGACAATCAAGTTAGGATAATGAGCTTGGGGGCTGGACCAGTGGAAAAATATCAAGTTTCTCATGGCCAAGATATAACTTGTCTGGTTGTTACGCCAGATTCAAATTCTTTGATAACTGGTTCACGTGACATGAGTTTAAAAGTTTGGCAATTAGCTGGTGGAAAACTTTCACAAGTCTTAGTTGGTCACACTGATCATGTTACCTGTGTAGCTGTATCAGTTCAGGACAAAAGCATTGTTGTTTCTGGCTCGCGCGATGCTAATCTTATTGTTTGGGATATAAATACGGGAAGTGATTTACATACACTAAGTGGACATCTTGGATATGTGACTTGCGTTAGGGTATCTGGTGATGGTACTTTGGCAATATCTGGTAGTGAGGATAAAAATCTTTTTGTATGGGATACTAAAAAAGGTATTGCCCTTGGTTCAATAATGCTGCACGTACCAATTCTTGGTGTTGAAACATCTACGGACTTTTCAAGATTGGCCATTCATCTCATTGAACAGCCTACAATGCCGATATTATGTTTGCATAATACACCTGCCCAGTATGTCAAATTACCATTGTATGTAGCACCACGCGAACTACGACCATTGGGTCCCAAGAGACCTGCCAGGCGTTTGTTGAAAAAAGAAGTCTCACTCGATACTTACACGTGGCAACGCAAATACGGCCATCTAACATCAGGCATCATGGTAGCTGCTGTTGAGGATCCACTCAAGCGTCGATTTAGCGTGAGTGCTTCCATGGAGGAAATCAGCAAAGTTGGTTTAGCCGATTCTCAGACAAGTTTGGCACGCTCTCAACAGGCAGCCCTCGCACAATCTCAACACTTTGATCAGCTTGAAGCACTCTGGAATAAACAATCACCACCGCCAAGAACCCGAGGCACTCCTGGAAGAACCCTCTCCAAACAGAGCTCACTGCAGGCCACTAGAATATCCGACTCTGATGAAGACGAAGGTAAATTTACCCTACCACTGCAACAGTAACTTTAATAAGTTCATCATTTTACTCTTCATCTTCCAGATGTTCCAGATTAATGTGTCACATGAACATCAATTTACGTTGGAAAAAATACAACCCAAAATGAAAAACAGTCTTCTCCACTATTGTCTTTCCAACTATAACTTCCAACCTCTCAATTGCAGTGATAATTCCTATGCAATAAATGGCAAATGTTACAATCAGTTATTGTATGAGTTGACTTAATCATCTAGATCATCCCCTCGGTTCGCATATTTTTATAATATTCAACAAGTATTTTTCACCCAAGATATGTCAAACTATGTTTTTTTTCTTCTTCTTCTTCTTCGTATTTTTATTACACCAACACTCACTTTAATTGGTCCTGCGTACATCAGTGGACTTGAAAAAATAGCCAAAAGCGTGTCTCTATATGGAGTACTACGTCCCTTCTGCTCAAGTACCGCCTGATGTTGTTTTACTCTCACGGAAAGTGGAACATTGTCATCTTTGGTCCAACCCCCGAGTAGGTCAAGTAATAGTAATGGCTTTTTGAAACCACATTCTTCTAAAAGGTGCCTTCTAGTGTCTTGATAATAAATTTTCACGTTTTTTAATTTTTTATTTTTTTCTATGAATGGGATACTTCAATTGAAAAGCAAAAACAGCATCGGCACCAATCTCTCGGGATTTCCTTCGAATTTCATTGGGCGTAAGTCGATAATCATCAAGACCAACATTCCATCTATACTAATTCTCTCAAAGACTTTGAGTTCACCTTCCACCCCAACTAATCTCCCGACTCGTTAATCGTCTTAACGTATGGATGGCCCGTATTATTCGTGCGAAATTGACGGGAACACATATTTTATCGTCTCTTTTACAAGTACAAAATATTAAGGAAAATGAGGGTAAATGATTAACGGAGACCAGGAAACAAACTTTTTCTCCGATGAAAATTATCAAAATAGAGTGGAAAATGAATGGATTTAGCCTGAAACAATAGATTGTACTTTGATGTAAATGAAATGATGGATTAATCCACCGGTTTTTGGACAATATCCTTCGTTGGAATTTTCGATTTTGCAAATTTCTTTAATCGTCTGTCCTCTCAAGTCGTTCGAGTAGGGAAGGTTGGGGTAAAACGGACACTTTTGACTTTTTTAAAAATGTTAATGAGGGGTTGAAATGTTGATGAAATTTAATAATTTTGTTTCAATGCAAAGAACGATTCTTTCCCTTTGTGACGAGCCTAAACTGAGCTCAATTGATAAATTTGTTTCTGAGTTATAAATGATTTTAAAATAGTCTTAAGTGTCCATTTTACCGCACCCTCCCCTACATATCATTTTCGCGGCAAAACATAACTTACTCGTCAAAGCAAAGCCTATGTGCGCACGCGCGTTGCCTGGTGATGCTATTGGACTCGCTAAATAAGAAAACGCCACCTAGGCGCACGGGCACTCGCACACACAACGCAATCAAATTTTAGACACTTTTGTCGTCAGCCTGGTGCAATTGGTCGGCTGACGATTATATCGCACTCTAGTTGACCGATATTCATTGGCACGTTTTTGGAACAAAATACAGTGTCTAGTAATAGATTGATTAATTGATTAACTAAGCGTAAAATTGGAGAGAAAATGAGTACAACAAGTGAAAAAAACACCTCAGCAGCAGAGAACCAAGAAAAATTGGACGCGAAATGTTCAAAACGGCGACATGCAAGTGAAAGTTATATGGAGGTGAGGATTGAGGTTATTTTTCTTTTTATTATTACTGACCCTTGATGTAATTGTATTTTCTCATAAATTTGTTAGGTTGATGCTGTGAATGGGATTGAGGGTAAAGTCAAAAGAAAACCTGCCTTTAAACGTTCGAAAAATGTTCAAGGAGGAGAGCAGAGAAAGGTTAGTGAATAGAAAAAGTTGTGGCAAGGATAGAAAAAACTTGAATTAAAAAAGTAATCTCCCCCCCTCTTTCTATTAATTTAGATAGCTGTTCCAGCTCACAGATATACTCCTCTAAAAGAAAACTGGACAAAGATCTTCACACCAGTTGTTGAACATCTCCAACTGCAAATACGTTTCAATCTGAAAACTAGAAACGTAGAACTTCGTACAGCCCCGGAAACTCCAGACATATCAAATCTACAGAAAGGGGCTGATTTCGTGAAAGCTTTTGTTATAGGCTTCGAAGTCGAAGATGCAATGGCCCTTTTACGTTTGGACGACTTATTTGTAGAAACTTTCCAAGTGCAGGACGTGAAACCATTGAAGGGAGATCACTTGTCAAGAGCAATAGGACGATTAGCGGGTAAAGGTGGAAGAACTAAATTTACTATTGAAAATGTAACAAAAACGCGGATTGTATTGGCGGACACAAAAATTCATATCCTAGGCTCATTTCAGAACATTCAATTGGCAAGAAGAGCCATTTGTAGTTTGATTCTAGGAAGTCCTCCATCAAAAGTTTACGGACAACTGAGAAATGTTGCCTCGCGTGTTAGTGAAAAATTCTAACTTAATTTCTTGTTAAGCCTATTAATAATGATAATAATAATAAAAAATAATTAATAACATTCATAATTTCTAGTATGATTTATTTAATTAGATTTATAAAAGAATTTTATACTTGTATTTACGCGGTACTTTGTTAATAACCAGCCGTCCATCGTAACTGAGTGATGCAAAAGTCCAGGGATCAGCTGATGACCATTCAACAGCATATACACTGTCCTCATGTTCTTCGTATTTACCAATCACTCCATCGTCCATTATTTTTTTATCATTCATTGAATTTTCTATTGAGATGGTTTCACCATATGGCTCTGACGATACTGAAGGAATGCTGGAAAGAATGACTCGGGAATCACTGCTTGATGTTAACACAAGTTGATCATGAAAACGATTAATTCGAATTTTCCAGACCCAATGAGAGTGCTCCATTCGGCATGCTAATGGTGCACTAGGAGATCTTATGTCCCAAAATTTCATATATCCATCATCTCCGCAAGTTGCTAATATGTATTGTTTATTTATATTGAAATCCAGATCTCTAGAGAAGAGAGAGTGATTTAATAATCGTCATTAGTTATTGATTTATTTGACAAATACCATTTGTGTTTGAGGGGGGAGAGAGGGGGCATACCTTATTATTTGAGAATGAGCTGAAAGAATTGTCCAAGCTTCCTCTGATGGACTTCTTAAATCCCATCCCCTAATATTATTATCATTGAGTGTGACAAATTGATTGCAGCCATTGTGAGGATTCCATTTACCCGTTGTGAATCGAGGCTGTCCTTTACTTGTCAATGTACCTACTGTCGAAACCTGAAAATATATCAACAAATAAAATAAAATTATTGTTATTAAAGAATAACGGTATATTTAATAATTAATACCTGAGGAATGGCTTCATCAAAAGTCAAAAGAACAAATTTGTTATCAACCACTGCCACTGCTTTTGCACCATCTATTGGATGATAAATAATTGTCTTCAAATCATTTCCATATGGAGTTGTATCGATATCCGCTAGTTTTTGTAAATTATTTTCAGCATGATTTAGAATGGTTGCGTCCTCTTGGTTGAGATCTGGAAGTCTCCACAAGGCACCTTTCATTACACACATACCCTCCTCTGAAATTCAGTATCGTAAGTCTAGAAATTAATCTTTCAAATTCAACAGCTTTCTCCCATTTATTACCATTTAAAGTATTGTATGAGGTAATTAATTTATCCGGATCTGTTGTTGATGCTTCCAGAGACCATATTTCTCCAACTGTATGATGATAAACTTGGGTTCTTAGTGTATTAGTTTCATCGTTCAATTCCACCAAGTGTACTTGATTATTTGCCAACTTTAACGATTGAGTTCCAACGAGAAACCTGACTATATCAGTTTCGGCACTCTGCGCTGATAAAGCACGTGCCTGAAAAAAGTATGTAATTTACTATATTTGTAATTTGTAATCCAGCAAGGACAATTAAAATGGCAACAAATCAACAAATCACCTGAAACTCCAAGCCATAGATTACAGGGTTGTTGTTGTTGTTATCCATTGTGGAGATGGAGATGAGCAATCTGTATAACCTCCAATCACTGCTGGTGCTGTTGAGAAATGCAAAACAATACTTTATATTGAGCAATCTTGAATTCTCAATTTTATTAAAATATCTAATTTGTTCTGCACAATGTGCTGCAACCTTGAGGTGAATCAAGTGAAACATTTGTCTTTGCGCTCCTCTTTTTCTCAGTCTTTTTGGAGTGTGTGCGCACTGCGCATGCAGCATTGCATTGTATACATTTCGTAAAGCCACCGAGTGAATATATCGTAGACGTCAAGCACACCACCGATCACCGGTACGCATATGGAACCAACCCAGAACGACCTACAGAGCGACAGTGACTTGACAGTGTGCGGCGTGTGAAGGGGAATAAGGGGAAAACGGTGGTGGGGGACAGCTAGCCAGTTAGCCAGCCAGAGCCAGCCGTGGGGTCACCAAATATAATAATAATACTCTATATATATACATATATATATAAATTATACTTGTACCAAATTGAACCACAGTCTCGCGCTCTATAGTCGGACGCAAGTGGCAGAAATTCTCGTGATAAACTCCTACTCTAATGGAAATCTTTAAACAGTGTGTGCTTCTGCATAAAAAAATTTCACTGGTCCTTTCCTACTGATGGAGATGTTATTATGGTCACGTTTGGATGACTTTTCAACATCATCATATATATCGTATACTCTTCTTATATATCTTTGTGTTTTTGTTTAATTGAATCGTGAAATTTCGTGAAGCTTGAGTGAAATTATCAAATGGGATGAAAACGTTATGCCGTGCAAGTGTATACACCGCTGTCCACTTGTGTTTTGTTAATCGAACAGTGTGAGTATATATATACCTACCACTACCGCCCATTAATTAATTAAACTCTGTGTACTGTTATTCCAATGAGATGCATACTTATCATCTCGTGAACATAATATATATTTTTCCTTCAGTCAAATATATGTTATGCACTATATGTAACAATTCCTTAAGGGACGACCGCAATTTTGTTTCGATATAAAAATGCTTTTTGCCAGGTAGTTTTCAGATTAATGCTTCAATTATTACAAAATAAATGATTCAAGGTCATTTTCTCCTTCATCCCATCTTATGCGACAGGATGTTTTGCGCGCATCATCATCGTATATAAGAAAGTTCCTTTTCCTTTAAAAACCTTGTGATGGAAGTGAACATCATTAGTATCTTATTGAATTGCATTGATGGTAGGGAATGATCGAGTGAAATCAATCAATGATTCAGATTCGTTGGTGAATTATTACTGGTCTCTCTGTGTGGAATTCACCAAACGATTAAGTTTAGTGAAAACTTGGAGCTTCTCCTTTTGTGATGAGTATATATGTATATATTGAAAATAATCCAGGAATACCCAAAGCATTGAGGAATTACTCGTGTGTGTACCTCAATTTTATGGTTGGTATGCCACCGGCGGTCAATAAACATGTCTAGAAATATCGTCGAGTACTAGTACAAGTTTTTCACCAACCAAAAACGATATGTATTATATTATTTTTTCCATTTCAACTATAGGGGAGAGTGGGGTAAAACGGCCCCTTTTGATTTTTTCCCCGTTTAAAATGCGCCTAGACTGATCTCAATTAATGAATTTGTTTCTGAGTTCTGAGTATCACAAAAAAAGTCAAAAGGGACCGTTTTACCCCACTCTCTCTTACTATATGAAATTCAGTGTCAAAATAATCACTCAATGAATATGATGTAGCTCAAGTGAATGTAAATCGCACAACCGGCATATGGAGGAGTATTTTTTATATATGTAATAAATACTCATTGTTACCAAATAGGATTCAGTCAAATGGGGAAAATTCAACTCCAACTGTTAGTTGAAAAAACAGACAGTATGAGCCAAAACAGTCGTTTGTGCCATTTACCGGAAATTCCGTCGGCTCTTCGTCACGCTTATATAGCTAACTATTTGAAATAGACAATAGAATTTCCGTGTCACTTCAATATACTTTCAAGTATTTGAGAGAGTTATGTGCAAGGTGAATTAAATATTAATTGATACGCGTCATCAGTCGCTGTGTAAAAACGCTTCTAGTCCATTACTTTAATATGTATATCATCTTTTATACATGATGATGTTCAACATAGACCCAATGTGTACAAGACATAATCATGTTAATTATTCATAATTACTCGATCACATGACAACAGATTGCAATTAATTCAAATTGGGCATTTATTTTTTATTTATACACGGAGAAAAATTTTCTTAATTATTTTTCCAACCCAAATATCGGGCAATATAATTGGCCCATTGGACATCACGTGGTACAAGCTACAGGGTTTTCAACTGATAATTTTTTGATAATTTTCTCTGGTAGTTGCTATATAAAAAACAAAACATCATGCAGTCGAATTAACCCCTCGTCAAACTGACAGATTGAATTCAATTGTGTCGTTGTGTTAATTATACAATTTTCGTTTCTCAATTGTGAGTTTCGTCTCATGGTCCAATTATATTGCCCGACATTTGGATTGGAAAAATAATCCCCCGAATACCACACGAGCTTCAAAATTAATCGGGCATTTTCCTCAAGGTTCCTTGCATAGTATCAAGGAACTACGACTTGACGACTTCGGTTGTATGCAAACGAACCTATCGGAAAATACCCGATAATTTTGAAGTTCTTGTGGTATTACAA